AGTCCTGTTTATATCCTTTTGGTCACACTTTCTTATTTTTATTAATAATAGATTAACGTGGTTTATCAGTGCGTCGCGCATATCAGTGCCTCGCGCACTTTTTCACTACTCAATCATTTCAAAATATTATTCAATAATCACAATATATAAAATTAATTAAAACTATTCAGAATCTGATAAACTAGAGTCTTCTAAATCCTCCTGATAAGTTTGTATATTATAACTAGTTTTACTACAAGAGCTACAATGATGTAAAGTTGATTATTCTCTATTTGAACTATCCCTCTTAAAGCATTCGTTGTGTCAAATCTGATTATCTATATTGATCTGTAATATAATATTATATCCATTTTGTATACTAAATATTCCTCCTTGATGAATTCGACTCTTTTTAGCTTTACAATATTTATTCAATGTCTTATTTGCTTTTTGAAGAGTACGAATCTCAGTATTCATAAGTATTATCTCATAAGCTAATATCTCTATACCTTTAGCTAAAACTGTAACTGTTTCAAATATAGGTATAGGAAAGCTTCCTTGATGTTGTGTAATTCGATTTTTAATTAAGGTTGATTGCGAAAGAGTATCATTCGAGTTGTAAGATGTTTGAGAAATCCAAGGATCGAGTTTTACAGAGGAAGATCTGGTAGGCATAAATGTTTGTAATTTGATATCTAGCTTAGAAATAACAGCTTGAGGATCAAAGGGTATTAATCCAGTTCTGCAGAATCCAGATAATCCATTTTGAACAGTTATTGATTGTAGATATACTGCTTTGAAGACTATAAGGAATTCGACCTTGGTGATATAGTTGATATAAGCCTTAATATATTCTTCAATTTGTTAGCTATATATTCGTTTTAAAACACTAAAACATCTGATATCGAATGGTTAAATAATATACAAAGAATGAAAAGGTAATGAAAAAGTTATAATATTATATTCTTTGCAATATTCTTGAAATGCAATCGATTCGTAGCTTTTGTATCTGTCTAATATTAGCATTCGATAATTACCTTGTTTTCGAACAATAATATACTTATCGAAATGTTTAATCCATTCTAAATCTGTCTCATTATTCGTTTATCTATTATTAGTGACTTTAATCACCCAATCAAATGGGAGATCACTCTCAGTATACCAATTCGAGAGATAATTTTTGCCCTTAACCATTAAAAATGAAGAAATGCTTTCTTTTATATTATTGATATATACAATCGCTATAGCCCATTCTCGATTACCTAATTATATTGCTTTATTTCTGCTATATTGTTTAGTATTAGTTACAATCATCCCAAAATATATAATATCTATCATAAAGCCTGTTTCATCAAAATTGTAGAAATTGTAATCGAGAATACTATATTTCACCCATATATTCAATATTAATCAAAACTACCCTTCAATAAGCTTTGAATCTTCGCAAAAAACTCTTTGGAAATCATAAACACAATTAAAACATATCTTTAATTCTAGCCAGTATTATACAAATCGATACACCCAGAGCTTTCCAATATGATGTATTTCACAAATATCGAAAATATCATTCACTATATCTTCCACACTACTTAATCGAAAGGCAAATCCTCGTATATCCATATCGAGGATATATTGAAGAATCACTTCTTCTTCTAATTTAGTTAATTTTTGAATTGGTAATCGACATTCCTATAACAGGGTTAAACCGTTCATTCGATTCCGAAGTATTGTTTCAGGGACATTATAGAGTTTAGCAGCACTCCGGCAACTCATTTTTTTTGATTTATTAATAGCTTCAATAGCTAAGATAATCCGAGCTTCTTTTGAAGTGTTATTCATTGTTGATTGTTGATTAAACACGTATTGAATTGAAGAGTTGCAAAATAGTGAAAAAGTGCGCGAGGCACTGATATGCGCGACGCACTGATAAACCACGTTATATCTAAACAATTGTTAATATCATTTTATAAATCTATTGGAAATTGATTTAATTATCACTATTAAAGATTATAACAGGTTCTTAGTAAGTTTGTATAATATTTATAGGATTTGTTATTATAATAAAATAAAACTTTATCAAAAAATCAAAGTTTTTGTATAAAATAAGAAGAGAGTTATCTTTTTTGTTATTTATTTATAAATATATTAATCGATATATTGATATAAATATTGATTAATATAAGATTATAAGAGATATAATAATAGTAATATTGTATATGTGTATCCTTAGAGATATTCTGATAATATTGGATATATATATAACTGCATGAGGCATGTGTATATAGACGATATCACATAAGCTATATCACATGACCTTGTGTGGGCCTAGACTGCACTTCCAACAATATCTATCCCATCAAACCGAGTATCCAGATCCATCCATATCTCATATCTCATATATTCATCCATATCCAATTCCCATTCAAAACACATAAAAATCTCATTTTCATCAGTTCTTCTTCTGACAATCCAAGAACCCAAAAGACACCCAGAAAAGCGCACGTTGACGCAATGCAAAATTTCAGTGTATAAAGTCAAAATTCAATAGATCAAAAATCAACAAATCAATAAATCAAAGTAAACTAAAACTAAAAAGCAAAAAAAGACATCGATACGATATGGTATTTCCTCGGCCGAAAGATCATCATTATCCATCCAAACAAAAGAATCAAAGAACTAAAAGAAAAAGACAAAGCGCGAGTCCTAAAATTAATCCCAAGACCCAAAAATCTTAATAATCCCTTTCCCTCCCCCTGCTCCTACTCGCCCTCCTCTCCTTCCTCTCCCTATCACTATCCCTATCCCCATCTCTCTCATCTCCCGATAGATCTTTAGACGAACCACCCGCCAACCCCCCCTCCTTAACGAGTCCCAGCAATAACTCACTCCACGTTTGTTTTCCCGCGACCACCTCCCCCACACCCCTCACAACCTTCTCAACCATTTCATTTCCACCTCCGAATTCCTTTGCAATATCTCTCGTCGCATCCCTATCCCTATCCCTACTCTGATCCCTACTTCCCTTTGTACTCCCATTCAACAATCTCCCATCCTCATTAAACCTTTTCGGAAGCACTTCAACATCCTCATCTCTATCACTATCTCCACTCTTCTCACTTCCACTCTCATCATTCCTCTCCTTTCTATGTTTCTGATGTTTCCTCGGTCTCGAAGGACGATTTGAAGAAGGATCCGAGTTGCGTCTTCTCCTTCGGCGATGATGACGGTCAGTAGAGGGGATTGGTTGTTCATATGTATTTACTGTGGATGAGGATTGAGCTGCTTTGGCATTGTGGATACGTTCTAAGCGACGGGAGGATGTGGGGGATAGAGGGGCAAACATGACGGATTTGTTGGAGGGAGCGGGTTCGATTGGAGAGATGGGGTAAGTAGGCGTTAAAGAATTTAGACGATCTATTTGAGAAGAAGAATGTTAGTACACTAATACCATAGAAAATGTGTGAACAGAAGGAAAGAAATGAATAGAAGCAAGACGCACCCTCCCGGTCGTAAACGTGATCAGTTTCAAGTGGAGAGGCTTCATGAAAAGGGAAGTAAGATTCCTCCCTTGTATGGGGAGGTACTGTCATAATAGGTTCGGAATTCGAAGATTGATAAGCACTCACATTGTCACCAGGAGCTCTGGATGAAGGTGGGTAATTGACATGAGGATCTTGAACTGCAGCACGTTGACCTGCATAATCTTGAGGATTGTAGGGTGGTATTGGAGGGGTTTCATTAATAAAGGGTGTAGAATGGTTTCCATGATGAGTGAAACCTTCTGGGGCTGAGGCAGGAGGTGGTGGGAATTGAATGTTATCAGGGTAGTATGAACCACCGGAAGCGTGAGGCGGCGAAGGAGAATATCCTTCATCACGGAAATTAGTGTAGTAACTCTCAGGTGATGATTCGTCTTCATAGCCTGATTAAAAATGAATGTTAGTATGAAAGAAAGAGATACATGATGTCGAGCCACCCAAACAGACGTTTAACAGATATTTGAAATACCTATTGGACATGAAAATGAAAGAGCTTATCATTGAGGGGTTTTAGGAATTAGATTTGAAAATCTTTTGGATAAAGACGATCTTATTTCCGACGGGGAAACCGATCGGGAACTTGATCTTGAGTGCTGGGGGGCCTCACGTCTTCGTTCGCGCTCACGCTCATGCTTCTCTGCATCCTTTTTTTCTTTCTTTTCCTTCTTATCTTTTCTCTTTCTATACTCATTGATCCCAATAGCGGCCGCACCCGTACCCAACGCACCAGCAGCTAGATCTCGAACTCTGCTCCGGCTTCTACTTTGTGATCGTGGTCGCTCTTCGACGTCGCTCGATGAATGTCGTCTGCGTCGATGGAATCGACTTCGACTACGTGTGGTAGCACCGTAAGCAGCCCCAGCTGCGGCCGCTGCGACAGCTGGGTCGTGTTCGTTTGGTCGATCGTATGGTGCTGGCTGCTGGTGCGTGTATACGGGTTCAGTACCGTACTGAACCATGCCTAATTCTGGGTCAACACCTGGATCAGAATATACTCCGGTGGATCTGGCTCTCGACCTGCTTCTAGTTCTACTCCTAGTTATACTCCTAGTTCTGCTCCTCCTTCTCTCCCGTCTCTCATGCACATCATCTTCTGCAGCATCCTGCTTCGCTTTTCTACTCTCATATAATCCAGCCACTGCTGCACCTGCAAGACCTGATCCGGCGATCTCCGCAGCAGTTCGTACTCGTGATTGTGATCGTTGACCGCTACGCTTTCGAGATTTGTTTCGATAGTGCTCTGCGACACCAGCGACTATGGCAGCTCCAGCTCCAGCTTTTGCCATAGACTTCTTTCGATGCGCTGGATCAGCATGTATGCTCCTGCTCCTACTCCTCGTTCTCGTAGTACGCTTTTCGTACTCTTCATCGGACCAATATTCATCCCCATCGGAATAACGTCGACCATGAGAAACACTTCTTTGTCGACTTCGGCCGCGAACCAATTCTTCTTTGTTTGCACTTCGATTCTTGGCATACTTAACAGCAGCTCCCGCAGCAATGGCAGCAGCTGCCAGACCCAGAGCTGTCTTCAATTTGCGATGATCATGTGGACTGCTTGATCTTGACCTGCTTATGTCTTCCCGACTATCGCGGTATCGGCTGCGTGCTCTTGTCACAACTTCAGCACCAATCGCACCCAAAGCAGCCCCACCAATGACTGATCTGCCACGATGAGCTGTTTCAGTTCCTTGCTTCTCCCTATGACTTGCCAAAAGGGCAGCTGCACCAGCCCCGGCTAGAGCGCCTTCTGCCAAATGTCTTCTATGATGTGGACTGTGGCTTCGACTGCGCGCCTCTCTTCTGATAACCTTCTTTCGTATAACATATCCTTCACTGTCATATTCATCATCATACCGACCATCTCTGCGATCATATGCAACAATCTCATCATCGCGTTCTCTTCTTCCACCAACTTCACGAACATCTCGGCGATAATAATATTCGTCGTCTTCCCTACGTGGTTCGGGTCGTGGGATGATTTCTTGTTGTATTTCTGTCTTCCTCTCAATAACTTCAACTCGTTGTGTCTCTGGTACAAGCTGTGGTATGATAATTGGAGCGGGGCTAGCGGCTTCTTGCACAATAATTTGTTGGGGTTCTGGAGCTCGTTGACGAATGATAATCGGTGGTGGGGTAGGTTCTGGTCGATCGTAGTATTCGGTTTCTCGCGAGTATCTTTCGAGTTCATATGGTTCATTATGACGTCGTGCTATTGTTTTTTCGACTGTAACATCAGTCTCGCGGGTCTCCCGAACATCCCGTTCTGTCTCCCATGGTCTATCATTGCGGTGTCGATCCCAAGGTAAGGGGCTAACACTTCGTTCCCGCTCCCGCTCATAAACTACTGCCCTAGTGCGGTCTCGTTCCCGTTCGGGTTCTCTAGCTCGCTCAACTGTCGTTCTCTGGTATTCGACGGCTCGATCATATTCGGCAGGTGATCGAGGTCTTTCGGGTTCGTATCGTTCACGATCAACTTCAACTCGTCGATCGACTTCTATGCGTTCCGTTCGTCTCGTCTCTGGTTCATATCTTTCGCGATCAACCTCAACTCTTCTGTCCACTTCAATACGCTCCGTTCGTCGTGGCTCAGGGTCATATCGCTCACGTTCGTGATCAATTTCGACTCGACGATCCACTTCAATTCGATCCCCTCGTCGATTTTCGTACTCCTTGTGAGAGGAACGAACTGATCGTGTATCATCTACTTCGTCGACTCGACCAGGTGTGACTCGATAACGTTGAACAGTGCGATACGCACTACCATTTGGGTTCGACCGACTATGAGATGACCGCTCATCATCGGAGGAATAATAATCGACCTCTCGGTCTCGGTCATGATAAGAGCTGCGCACAACTCTTGATACTTCAGGCATTTTTGTTTCTTGTTACCGTATACTTATTTGCCAAAAAAAGTAAGGGTAGATTGTAGATATGTGTGTAAACAGTAGAATAAGTTCGTAAATAAGAAAAGAAGATGGTTTGGATAATGTTGTTATTTGTTGGTGGGGGTTCGATTGAGGCTTTGCTTATGGCCCCCTCTGACACGACCTTTCGTAGTGAATCCAGCGATTAGAATTTTGATGGTTGGTTCCACAGCTTTTATGCGCCAATACCTCTTATATACGTATCTCGTGATACCCAAAAAATGCTCGAGTAATTTGGTTAGTAAATGAATGGGAAATGTACCGATGATGATTTGATGATTATGATGGCTGGTGAGAATCTTTGACGATGGAGGGGTGATTTTTAATGACTGCGGGGGGGAGGGGGACCCATTTGGGACGAAAGTGGACTCTTGGGACTTGAAAGTTGTGTGACTTGTACTCGTGTAGGTACTACTAGGTACTACTAGTTACTACTTGAGAATATCAACATCCATAAAAGATATCTTTCGGGCGTCTAAAACTCCTTCCTTGGGTATCTTATCTATCTATTCGTAGCGCTGGGATTGGATTGGATTGGATTGGATTGTATTGGATTTGAGATGGATGATATATGACAACCTTTTCAAAAATATATGTACCTCGTGATACCACATCGAGGTTCTTGGTGGATGGATGGATGATGAATGATCAATTATGGAGTTTATGTTTCAAAGGAATAGATATTTATTCTATTCTTCTCAATTCTCCCAACCCTTTCTTCACAACTTCTTTCTATTATCATATCATGAGAGAAGTAGAGCCGCATAGCATAGCCACCAAGGACCGGATATCCGCATCAATATGATACACAAACCCCCCGCCCTGTACTCGAATACAATGCCAATACTTTTTCAAGAATTCAAGAATTCAAGACGGCAATATCGGCCGGCATTGGCCGAGTATGCAAATAAAATCTGAATATCCATGGCTTGGGAAAAAATAAAAAAGTAAAAAATTCTTACTATTTGATAGTTGCGGAATTAGTACTTGTACCGTATTAGGATTTATAGATCTACAATACGGTACCTAATGTCTGTAGCTTGATTATTAGCTGATCGACTACAAGTATAGTAAGGCTGATAGTCGTGAATTCGGGGGCTTGGGTTGATCTAAGGCTGTATTTGTTTTGTTGGTGGGTTGTCATTTTGGTATTTTTTTGGGATATTGATGAGTCAGCATATAACTTTAGGTGGACTTACCTACACCTAGATACACACACGTATTCCTACTTATATATACCTATACCTACCTACATACATACCGTAACCTCAACACAGAGAAAGGATAACTGCTGATGTTATTTACATCCACTCTCTCACCTCTTCTCTGTAGAAACCAAAGTCATTCTGACGATACAACACTTTATTATAAGAACATAGAGAAAAGTCAGGTAATCTATTAATTATAACCGAATTCCCTTCTAATATCAAGCCCGAACTTCTAGCAAATAATCTCTAGTTCTACTTTTACCATCCTCATTCTATCTTATCCCAAAAACCGTATCGTTATCCTATGAGCAGAATTAATCTTGTGGGTGAGACAGTCCAAATTATTTCATTTATTGTATAATAAATCTTTCAATACCTTCATTCTATAGTATTTCTTTTGTAATTAAGACAAAATCTCGAAATAACTGTAAATATTCTTTAGATTCTGCTTTTGGCTTTTTATATACCTTATTAGATACAATACCAAGAAAATCTGGGGTTTGAAACTGGTGAATCTATCTTCGACAGATTGTCTTCGATAGGTGGGTGTATCAAGAAATCAAGAAATCAGGAAATCACTGCTCCTCAAGTGATTCACAGGGAAGAATTCAAAATACAACCCGTCTTTGCGAATTTTTACAGCCCAATATCTTTTAGATCTCCTACATATTATCTGACTAATTACGCTGCATATTGATTGTCCTAGTGGAAACCAGAGATTATCTTCAATTGAGCAGAAACTTTCTCGGAAGTGATGTATCGGTATGTTCTGCTTGAACTTCACACTGGTCCTCTAAGTTTTATATAAGTTTTCGGTGGGAAAAACATATCACAGTATTTATATTCTATTTCTCATCGCAGCTTGGCTGACTCTTGTAAGACTGTTTTTTCTGAAGATCATATCCTTAGATTTCATATACTGGCATATACGAGTATAGATTTCTAGTAGCATCTCGAATGTCACAGAAGTAGTGGACAATTAAATCTAACTCAGTTGGTTTTTTTTTTGGAAATTCAATCCATACCCGAAAAAAAGCTTGATAGCTTTGCTTGTAAAGGGAGTAAATCGATTATAGCTTTCTCATTGTAATATCCTTTCTCAGTATATGTTATTGTTATTGGCAAAGTAAAGTTTAAAGCCAACTTACGTGAAGTTACTACCTGCTTAGCCATATGCGTGACATCAAAACTCATTTGAATATGTGAATTCTCATATCTCCAATCGGTTTTCAATCCCACTCCTCTCTAAACATATTGCTTGTCCCAGTTTAAGATAGAACAAAGCTCATTAGACCCAACCGAGCCAACCAAAGCTAGAAAAACAAGGAGCAAATTATTCAGGTGAATGAATATAAAATCTTACATCAACCCCGGTGTCTCAAACCACCTCCTCGACATCTACCATTCCCGTACTCACTTCGATTTTATCCTCTACTAGCGCGTATACCCATTCAATATACAAGATCCTACCCTTTTTTCCTCATACCTCCACTTCTTGCGAGTGGTACATCTTCATGGTCTAAAGACTCAACGCTTACGGATGCATTAAGTTTGAGTTGGTCTTCATCTTCATATATGTATTCAAAACATGGCATCGAGAAGAAACCCTCGCTTTTCGGGGTATTAAGTAGCTGGGAGGTTTTCATATTAGGGTAGGGTAGGGAGTTAATACGCTAGGTTCTAGTTCCGTTGATAATCGTGGTCTTCTATTATAACCTTCGTCTCGCTTAAGGTCCCTAATTCCTAGATAACTTCTGTACTACTCGAGTACATGTAATGCCTCTTGGTGAGAAGAGGAATGAATGATATGGAAACTAGCAATGCTGGCGGGGATAATGAAGACTAATTTGTGATCATTGGACGCAAACGGGGCAGTGAGCAAGCGGGGAGACATTCATGATCGGCTCATATACTCACTGCTCATCCAATCTTCATATTTATTTTAGTGTTCGCTTAATATTTGTGAATGTCATTCGACTTGTATACAACGGGTATCGTAAATGATCATTCATTCCTAATATTACTATAACGTTTTCTTGATTTGATGATTCCAATGAAGGACAAGAGTATATCTGAGATAACCAATGTTGAGAAACTAGATACTACTTCATCTTACATGATAAGGTATAGATCAATCATCAATACACCCTCCAATTCCATGGATATCGGCGCTGAAAGCGGGTTCTTTCTATATAATAGAGGAAGGTCGATTTTATATTGTACCTACGACCGTGAGGCTATACAGTATATACCCTCGATTGTACCTACTATACATAGTGATCCCTAAGACAGTTCTATATACGAGTACATACTATTCCCAACGATTTCCTGCCGATTTCTCTTGCCCGCCATACTCTTGTAAACATGATGATATCCCCGTATACTTTTTTGCCTTCACATGTCTGCATTTATCTAGAACATCGCATTCTGACGAAGAAGAAGAAGAAGGCAGTGATCTTCTCAGAATGTCGTTGATCATGAAAGTAGTTTGGTGGACTACAGGAGTCACTGAGGTAGAGTTGTCTATTAATTAGGCCGGACTACAGTCTAATAATGATATGTTATACTGAGTATATTGAATCTAATTCATAGCTTGTTTATTGGTTATATAAAGTGTGGAACCCCCTTTGGTTATCAAAAATTTATTTGACCCAATGAATCTCCAAAAATGAACCAAGAACTTTCAAGACATTGACAGCCATTCTAATATTGAAAACCTTCAAATCCGAGTTGGACAGCAATCCAGATTATTGTGCATCCTGGGCTAAAGACCAGAGTTATTGGATTGGATGTGGAAAATATTTTCTGTAAATAGTCAAACTGGATATGGATTCGCTGTCAATAATTCTGCGATTACTTTTCGGGGTGGAGATCAGATGTTTTGAAATAATGTACTACATTTCCTATTAGATTTGAAACAAGTTAGTATGGCTAGCTAAGTGTTCATTGGCAAGCAGCCTTCATAATCTGGGCAGGTAACGTAAACCCATATTGCGCTCTGGTATAGACTAGATGCTTACTAAGAAGCCTAGCTGCCAAATGTCTTTTATATGCTGTTGATCTTATGTATATACTTTAGAGGTTGAGTAGATCATGGAGGGAGGATAACCTCAAAGAATATTAATCAGATATTTCCATGACAGTAATAACGGTTGTAAAAACCAGCAGTCACACTTCAACGTTATTACCATCTTATAGTTCGTGAAATGGCAACGGCAGTTTCACGGCATCATCACTAGAGGGTTGGATCAGTAAGATAAGAGTTGCTGGCTGAGATGTTTGAATTGGTGCTCTTTGTGCCAGACAATTAACTAGAACTATCCCAAAAGTGTGGTAGAAAGACCCAGAATATATAGCCTCCACCATCAACACCAAGGCAAACCACCTTAAGAAACGGTCGAGATACTAACATTATATCACTTGTGCCTGTACAATAAATGGAACTCATTATAAAAGTTTATTACAAAGCCCAATCAGATATGATATTTGCCTTGACAATCATGCCACCCATCCCAAAGGTACGTTAGATAGCCCGAATATGTACAATCCCCAGCTTGACAACCATTCTATCCATCCCTAGAATTACATGAGAGAGACTCAAGATATACCAAGTCCAGCTTAACAATCCAAAGAACCCATCCCATAAGTACATGAGAAGTACCAAAGCTTTATTGAATCTGCGCATGCAGGTATGCTGAACTCCTCTTATCACTCAAGACCATGACTGTACGACGTTGACTGAATATAGGACAACCGGCGACGATGCCTAGGATGAAGAAGGTTTTGCTGGATCTAGAACTTATTAGCGAGCCAACTATACAAAGTGGATTATTCAAACAACCGACCTTCTTCTTCGTCTTCATCAGAATCTTCTCTCTGAAGGAGAGCTCCAGGATTAGCAGCAATAAAAGCAGCTCTAGCAGCCGCCTCATGGGCAGCAACTGCTGCAGCTTCAGCGAGATTAGCTTGAACCGAAGCCATCGCAGCGTCTAGAATCCATCAATTAGATAAGCCCAGCAAAACAAATCAGAGGCAGGATGACTTACTAAGGTTCCTCGCAATACGCTCAAGACGGGCAGACGAGTCCTCATTACTCGGTGTAGGTGCTCTAACAGAAGAAGAACCACTCTTTGACTTCTTGACACCCGAGGGCTTGGCAGAGGAAGTTGGAGAGGTGTTAGTAGCAGTATTAGAACCGGATTTCGGTTGTCGCTTGGTATATCTTCTCTTGGGGATCGGGCGATTGGTGGGGAGACCGGCGTCAGTGTTCTCCATGCCACCACCAGCGACGATAGCGGCTCCTGTACCAAGGGGGAAGGCCGGAGAGAACCCATGATTCGGCTCTCTGGTAGGGAGAGGAGCCGGATATAGGTGGGAGACGGGAAGAGGCGAGAAGGGGGGTACGTCTCTTCTTTGGAACATACTTCGATCAAGTTGGGCGGGTGGGAAAGGAGAGAAGGGTGGATGGACTGGTTGAGGGATTGGGTGGTTGCGAGGGCTTGGTGCAGAGTCGGAGCGCGTATGGCCAGTTGCGGGTTGGTCTTCAGCTGGATTGGTGTTTGGCGCCCTGGAAACTTGTTAGAGTATATAAGCGAAATGGAATAGGGAATAGGGTTATCATACCTAGTAGCTTCTTCTTGAAGCTCTCTTTGGTCTTTGCCTGGGAAATATATTAATATAGCTCAGAGGACGATCTAGCAGGTAGTGATATTAAGGAGACGAAATAGACAACTTACTGCTCTTTGCAGCCTTATTTCTGTGTGGATCCATGTTTACAATAATGGAGGTGGTGTTGTTGGAAGCTGGGTGTCCTGTAATACAAGTATTTGAAGTACAATTACTTGCTTTTGTGGACTTGATGGTACAAAGAGTGTATGAAAAGGAAGATAGTTACTCTTGGACTTGGTGGAAGAAGGAGGAGTTTAAATATTGCCTTTGTACGGCTGATGGCAGATTTCCCCGCTCCATTACAGTTTGTAATGACCGAGATAATTGGTAGTTTCTAATTAGACTATAGACGCAACCGAACTACCTCTGGTCCAGATATGCAACAATACTTCTAAATTGTTCTTTAATTGGTGAGACTTAGATGAGGCACTGTGGTGATGGTGTGCAGCATCGAATGTTGGAGAATATACTAATTAGCTTCCTCGGAGATCGGTGATGATGTTTAATTTTAAAGTAAATATATATATATTGAATCTTTAATCTCAAGATGTGTTTCAAGGGCTCTGTTCATGTCATATCTTCATTATGCTCAAGCTATCTGTCACAACTTTGCTATACATCCATCATGATTTTGATATTCACTTGCTCGGCCTTAGGGTCTTTCGTATGGAACCACATCGTCCTATTCCCCTTAACACCGAGGCTCAAATTCCCATAATATTCACCCGGTTGGATAATCACATACAGAAGCAATTTGAAAGATGATTTATGAGCTGATGTAAAATTCAAGAATATTTTGTAATTTCCCGCCTCCTCCTGTGAGTCCTGTGAGTCTGTGACCTGTCCAGTTTCTTGTTATTTCTCTATATCTCCTCTTCCAAACTCAATGTTTTTTTTTTCTAAATCTGCCATTCTTTCATACCACACCATAACATAAACAAAATACAAACACCTCCCAGTCCTTCAACATGTTTGCTCTTCAGATGATCATGCAGCTCCTAGCAATTGCCATATTACTCTTTACAAGTGTGTTTGCAGACCCCATCAAGCGCAACGATAATGAGGTTACACCTGTCGCAATTCCTGGTCTCTTTGGACTCTTTACCTCTGTTGCCACGTCTGCTTTGACTACTGGTGAACTTGTAAGTCAGATCTTGTTGACTGGTTTTCTTCGATTTTCCAGAGAGGGGCCTCGATGTTCTCGAGCTCGAGGATCACCTGCACTTGATTCTTTAATGTAATATTTGAAAATACTCCACAGCTAATCGTAAGTTCAACAGGTTGGCGTTGTCGTCGTTTCGAGCCAAACTGTCTATCTTCAAGAACCCAACTTCTTCCCTGCCACCTTATGGGGCGTACCATAAATCACACAATCAGGCGTGAAGACTGGGTTTGGACCTAGCACTAGTGCGGACGAAAATACGCCATACAGCTTCCCTACTTCAATTTTACCTACTGCAACCTTTCCTACCTCAACCCATTCTTAGTCTAATCGTCGCTTTTTCGACGGAGCGTAGCGACTCTTACAGCAAACTACTAGTATGGTCCGTGCGAAAGCGGTGAGAGGTGGATACAGTATATGCCTTAGTGTGATATTATGGAATTTAGGCTTAAGCGAGGTATTCTTGGAGTGTGGTTATAAAAACTCCCTAGTAGCACACCAGAGCCTCAACATTTCCCCACATGTGGCGCTAAGCCTGTATCAAAAAAATATGTATTCAATTAACTCGATGTCGCTGATCATCAATCTGAAATCAAAATATCTATAGCTATTGTCGTTGTTGAATACCGTGCTATTGAAGTTGTTGATTTGGAGATTTTGAATTTTTGATGAGGAAGCCTGCCCACACAATTTTTGATCTAACCAGATGCGTAGTCTTCAGATCCGGATCGGAAGAACTATCCTCAAGACTACGCATTAGGTATAGTACAGCCTACGCACAGACCATACTAGTAGTTTGCGGTCAGATTCTCTACGAGACGAGGAAACCTCAGAATGACCTCAACCCCTCTTGAAGAGAACACATCAGCAACACTGACCTCTTTGACTGATGCCATTGTTTCCACACCGGCACCGATTACAAAATCCGTTGACGAGGAACAAGCAGTAGTGACTTCGACAATAACAACTTGCAATACTGCCGTTGCTGGCACGACAATTCCTGTTAGTGCTCTCACTACTGGAGAGTTTGTCGGCGTTGATGTTCTTTGTGGCGAGAAGATCTACATTCAAGAACCCAATTATTATCCGACCAAGACCTATTATGGCATTCCTACATCGACTTCGACATCGACTTCGACTTCGACCTCGTCAATCTGCAATAACGATGTCGCTGGCGTAACGATTGCTACTAGCGATCTTACCACCGGAGAATTCGTTGCTGTTGATATTTTCTGTGGACAAACGATTTACATTCAAGAACCGAACTTCTATCCAACCAAGACTTACTACGGCATTCCTGCTTCTACTACTGGAACTTCATCCGCAGCATCTACAACTGCAGTAGGCGTAGAACCACGTATGCTGGAAGCACGTACTAGAAATACACCTATCATTGATTCCACCACGCCAACTTCCCTACAGCGAGCTGATGAGAAGTGGATGGAGAGTGCTCCAAGCGTTGTTGCTGGAAACAGAGGTGCGGAGGCGTTTAGACAACAAGGTGACTTAAGAATGAGAGATGAAGGCTTGTAGAGGATGCGCGTGTATTTGTGTTCGTCACTTAATATTGGATTGCGACTATCTTGGACTTTGGGTGATCAGTTAGATCAATTACTATACTTGACAATTGTTGAGATATATTCCTAGCAGTTAATTTTATAGATGGTTACAGCTGCTTTAGAAGTTATAACTAGAGAATAAACCGTCTCACCTCCATGGCTGCTTTGACTTTTTACGTACTTTATCGTGAAATGGTAAAAATGGGTGTTGTCATTGAAAACATTTAAAACATCGCAAGGATTTGAGAATTACTGACTTCATCTCTGTATACCATTTCTAACCAATGTTCAGTTGACGATCTCACTAGATAATTCCCACCAAAAATACACAGGTTCAAATTGCATTCAAGATTTAAGAAATATGGTAAGACAATTTAGTTGGCTGTATTGAAACCGTCGAATTCGTCCGAATCCTCAATAGCCCAATACCAAAGTTTCTTTTTGGCTCTTTCACCTTCCTCCCTGCTCTCGTACACCATCACAGCTTTTCTGGTAAACTCGCATGGACAATTTACAACCACCGGGTACTTTAATCGAAGCCCTCCGTTGCGCGACTTACATATCCTGGCTTGAGTCACTTGATAAGGTGGGTGACCTGCACTATGGAGGTTCGATGTAACTAAATTACTGTTTGAAATCATATTGAGCAAGTAAAAACATTTGGATGGGTGCTCCTCCCCCCCACCAGAATGACACGAACCCTCATTGATCCCGTATGTATTTCTTTTTTTCATTTCGCGAGAAGAAGGATGGAACCTCCCTCGGCGAATGAGTAGATTGATCGCAGAACATAGTGATTTGATCGATGACACTTGCCATTGCACCATACATGAACGTAACTCCTTTCATGGACAAGGTAAGAAGTTAAGAGTGTCTAACTGCAGCGTTCAGTACAGTATTAATTGGATTTCATCGTGACTTGCCCGCATCTCTCAGCAAAAATAGTTGACTTTGACATTTTCTTGCCAGTGATGCTCCACGAAAGCCTTCACGATATCAAAATCGCAGTTCGAAGTTCAAATCAAACATGAGCTCATATACTCCGTAATATGACTTTTAGATGCCAAGAAGTTCTGATTTTCTCCTGTTTTTCCTCGCCTATCACGAGCAGATGAAATCTTTTGCTGATGCCACATAGCGATTGTTTCTTGGCCAATTTGGGACGATCGAGATCATTAGTTTCTTGCCATACTTTACAGTTTCTTTTATCCATGAAATGCATAGAGGTATTCACCCTAGATAATTCTAACACACACCCGAACTCCACCCAAAGCAAATTTTCCACAAGCCGAAACTCCAACCAATCCTCTCCCGATGCCTTACAATAAATCGAAGTCATCTAACTTCTCTCTATATTTCAAGATATTTCGCTTGATCTTCGAACCATCAACCCACGTAACGAAATCCTCCATTCCCCTCGTAACTAAGAACGCAGTATCGGTGATCGTTTCCGTCCCCACCCTGACATGTCCCTGTTCAATAATATTATTCGCAGCCTGTACCGTCTCTGCCATCCTCAACCTAGTCATCACTACTGGTAAACGTCTTCGACAGAATGCGGAAACAGTTACGTGGGATTCGACTGAGGAGAGTTTGGATGTTGAAGCGGTTGAGGGGAGGATACCCATATCGTGAAGTTTAGAGAGGAGGATCTGTTCCTGCTTTAGACGCACTTGGGAATCGGGAGGGAGGAGTGTGAGTTTATGAGCGAGTTGACGGAGGGACTGCAGCTATATTAGTATTTGAGGTGATGCCATAAAAGGAGAGGTAACATACGCCACATAGTCTATTGTATTTCTGATAATCTCCAGGTTTCTGTATCGCATATCTTCGTATAACAGCCGCATCTCGATGATTATTGTCTGATGCATAGGTTGTGAAATCAACTTTTCGGAGAAGCTTCTGCTCATGATGCTTAAGTTTACGAACCATCTTATGAGATTTAGTTCAATTGCGAAAAGTAAGTTTGGTGATGGATGGCACAAAGCTGTGAAGTGCATCATATCCAGGACCATAAGATATCAAAATAAAACTTTGCGGGTCGTCGGAAGATCTATCCTCCGAGGCGGGGATTGAGCCCGCTGTGAATTATGCTTCATGATTTTGGTACTGAGCGACATCTAAACATCTAGTGGAATTGTTTTCAAATTGTTTTTTAAATCGTCCAAATATATCAACCATGCCTCCTCAACTACGATGCTTAAACGCAGTGAGAAATGCGATATCAATACCGAGCCTGAGAATGCAGTTCTCAACTAGCAGAGTTATGTGCGCTGGTGTGTTGAATTTGGCCCATCAATCCTACAACCAATAAGGCAATTGCTAACCCACTTCGCAGACCTCCCTCCCGCCTTCCAAGCAGAAACTGCGGAATCGATGAGTTTAAGTGGCCTCCAGTCACTTGTGAACAAAGTCCAAGAGAGAAATACTCTCAAGATGGCAGAGCGAGATAAAGCATTGCAAGCTAAAGCTAGAGCGACCCCACAAACCGACGCCGAGGAAAATGGAGTATATGTTGCGAGATCAGACTTGACGAAACAAATGTATAGGAGGTGGAGGGCTGGAGATATTTACGCGCCTCACGATTTAAGTGGAACAGAAGCGGCGAAATGGAAGAAGAGAGGAAAGGTTACGAGTGATGTTTTTGACGTCATTGCTTTTGATCCAATAGCTACGGGGAGTTATAAGGTTAGTCTTTTTGTCGTGGGATGAGGAGCTTAGGGGTAAGGTAGATCTGTACTAATCGAGATATGCAGAATTTCTCGATTATGTCAGAATACGTAACGCCGATGGGAAGGATTAAAGGAAGTAGAGAAACTGGGTTGAGACCGGTCAATCAGAGAAAGATTGCGAGGACAATCAGGAGGTCTGTTGGTATGGGTATGATGCCGAGTGTGCATAGACATCCAGAGGTTCTTTATATGGCGAGAGAAAGGGCAAATTTGAATGATAACTACAAACGAGGTCCAATGGTTTAAGGAATCTGCGGGTCCGCAGGAATGGAGGAATGTACGATATATGCACCGACTAGGCTGTAAAATTGCACCTATGAGGTAGAGTTGAATGGAATAACATCAAATTCAACATGTATCAGTCCTGGCCAAGGTATCCTAGAAAAGCTCAACAGAGCGTCGTGGTATTACAAAGGTCTACAAGCCGCCGGATAAGTGTGATAACGTAGTCCTCAAATATGGAAAGTATCTCGCTGGCTAGAGCTGAAATTGGAATAGTATGCGACTATGAACCGATTGATGGATGCGGTCATTAGAACGAGATGAGACATTGATATCTCGAGGCAGTCTTATATGATCGTGGGTGGCCCCACTTCACGCTTTAATATGATGGCGCTCATGCGATTATGTCCCAGTCAAACTCATTCAACTCATTCTTGGAAGAGCTCCTGTACTTTGGCCTGGCCTGGCCTCGCCAACCTCGTCATCAAACACAATCGTGTTTAGCTGATGCACGTGAAATGACTTCGTCAGAAATCGAATAAGCAAATGCTTACAGTCTGAGAGCTTTCGTCAAGAAAGTGTCAGGCAATATATGATTCTCGGATGATCACCTTTTGGAATATAGCTTGAGTGATGACCACATAGCTCAAACGTATATATACTAGTTTTATACATATAGCAGAGACATTATATCAAGATCCCGACAGAAACCTTTTTCCATCAAAGAATCAATGTTCAGAACCCCTCTGACTTCTAAAAGAATTCATACCTTAGTACTAACATAGTAGTTTCAAGCATAAAATTATTCGATGTCAGAATCTCCGTGAGATGACCAAGGTCTAATGCATCAGTCGCTATTGAACAATAAGAGTTTAAGTGTAAGCTAGCATGAAACAATGAGGAATTCTCAAGTAATCAACTTGAATATATTCCCTGAATATACAATCTAACATAAAAATGCAAATAGAACGATGAATGTTTCATATTGGACACCTGTGCTACCATTGTCTTTCTCCCACAACGGCAGAGTCTGTGTGTATCTATCAGGCAGTTGTTTACGAAGCCTCTCACCTCCTCCTCTAATCCCAGCCATGAATCGAAAAATCACACTGATACATATCCAATTAGTGAGGCAAAGGGAATAAGCATCGCTCTCATACCGTATCAGAAGTTCTCTTCTACAATCTTGAAAATGTTGGAGTATTAAAGTGGTCAAGCAATTTTGCACTATCTTCAGGAGACAATTGATCTATACACTAGAGATGGCCTAGATGGTAACCTTATTGTGATATTTATCATGCATGCAATAGTAACTGAAGGGGCATTTTAGTCTCTTACCCCTTTAAAGTCCACTCGCTAATTGCATTAGTCAGGAGCCAGGATAGCTGCCAGTGATTTACCTCTTCCTTGGCTAGATCGTCACTTTGACTCACTTATCTCTCAAGATTCATGTTAGCTCGTTAATTTGGCACTTCACATTTCCATATCCATTCTTTGACTTGCTGATGGTTGTGTAACGCCAGTGCGAGTATCTGGGCATAGAAATGTGTGCAGGTAATTTTGGTGGTTATAACTTGTGTGTGCTTTGGTGGTGCTTTGAACTGTAATAAGGCCAAATGCGAAAGAAGCAGCAGCAGATATAATTTAACAAATCATTGATGTTTTCAATTACTGACCTATCAACCACTTTCAACCATTAAACTTAGATTCTATTGTGTAATTGACTTTTAGACATTGAACTCCACATATATAACCTCAGTTACAGTTACAAACAGACCGATTGTCATGCGCTTCCATACCTGGGCTGCAAAACAATGATGAAGTAGTTCTGGTTCCCGTTCCCGAACGCTAGACAATCACACCATGATGAGAATGGCATCAGATAATACACACCTTACGTAGTATGATAAGACGGTTCTTTTAGACCTTCCTTTCTTAGCCTAGAGCTTCTAGACCTAGGCATCGTATGATGCTTATCTCTATTCTCTTCTTTCACTCTTTTAGGCCTAGCCTCTAGGGCTACCAAACCTGTATATAAACACTCCTTTTAGCACCCTACATAGCTCTTCACTTGTAGATTCTAAGTACACAATCGGAGTCCTGTTTATACCCTTTTGGTCACAATATCTACAAGTCAATACTTTACAGCTACAATTAGGGATAGTCGTAAAATCTATCCGAATCTCCCTCTCAAACTAATGCTGACTGCTTTGACATGTTAGAAACGCTATTATCGTATCTTGAATGATATCAGACGCCTTGCAATGCCAAAGTTACAGTCTTACCATTGAGCTTGACTTGATTGTTGGTGCTATCTACTCCATGAGCCATCCCGTGGACTCTGGGCTTCATTGTTATTTCACCAATGATTGGCTTCGCTACAGCTACCTTATATTCTCGATCAAAGGCGAGCTCTGCAAACAAATATATCTCATAGTCTAGCTGTCTAATTTATCATATAATACAAAACTATTAAAGCGCAAAGTACGAGCTAACAGTTCGACGGAATTTAGATAGCTAACCGCCACCACAGAAAGAATTATGAGACACTCATCATAATTCAAGATAAGAGATCGTCTCATGAGCACATCCCTGTGTGCCTTGGGAATGATTACCACTAGAACAGAGAGACCACATCAGAGGTCGCACCAGGGGTCCTAAAGACCAAGATACAAGAGATCACAGCGGCCAACACTAAGAGGTCAGAGAAACCAACACCAGAGACTGGGTTTGGAAATAGTTGCTTGACCTGAGGACGGAAGGACCTGAGGACAGAATCGAGCGTAAGTAAAATCTTCTTTCCATTCGAATTTGACAGCTTGACCACCACAAATCTTTTTTTATATATATTTATATCACTGCCAGGCTCTATGTCTTTTATACAGACCACATCAAGGAGTGTTGAAACTTAGGGGAAGCTATTCAATTGTATTAAATGCATTTTGTAGAGAGTCCCAAATTGATGTTGGAGATAATTCGAACAATTGAAAATAAAGGTCAGCTATTTTTGAGATATCAAAGCAGTGACAAGTGTTTTCAAACTGGGCATACCATTAAGTAGCTCAAATGACATTCCACAAGCCTAGGACTAATGAGTATGGAAGATTGAGATAGTGGGTAATAATTATCACCACAAATGTACTGTAGACAGACATCGCTTAAGAAAACATGATGATCTTTCAAGACCACCAAGGAGCAAACCTCGAAGTTTTAGTAGAGAGTGAGTATGATGTTATGCTAGACCTAAACTCGACACTAATAACAATCTCATGTTAATTGACAGTTTTGATTTTTTCTACATCCAAAAACATGATTTCCTTCTTCTTTTCGAACAAGAAGAAACAAGTGATGTCTTGTCAGAATCTACTGAAGTTGTGCATTGCTTACATAAGCCTGTCATAAGCACAAGCTTAGCACCGGTATCGCCGTCGGGGTTCATGTACTTTCAGCCTTGCATCTTTTTCTTGAGCTTTCATCATTTCGAGGCTGTCAACCTTGAATTTCAAGCACGATAATTCCTGCAATTATGTCTGGACGCGATTTCCTTGGCCAAAAAGCGCCTGAGAATTATGTTGCTGGTTTAGGTCGAGGAGCGACAGGTTTCACAACACGATCTGATTTAGGTCCTGCGCGAGAAGGCCCAAGTGAAGATCAAATTAAAGAAGCTCTTGCAAAGCGCGCTGCTCAACTAGGTCAAGCAGCTCCTACAGCATACGGAGCTACCGAGAAGAAAGAGGACGATGAGGAAGATGAGCGCTTCCAGGATCCGGACAATGAAGTTGGGCTATTTTCAGGTGGCGTTTACGACCAGGACGATGATGAAGCAGACAGGATATACCAGGATGTAGATGAGAAGATGGATAGACGGCGAAAGATAAGAAGGTTTGTCTCCCCCTCTATCATATTCCCTATTCTCCAATGCATTGGGTTTATCATATGAAAATAGATGAGCAGATTACCGACGAGTTTACCTACAGGGAAGCACGAGAAAAAGCAGAAAGGGAAGAATACGAGCGCAATAATCCCAAAATTCAACAACAATTCGCGGACCTGAAACGAGCGTTGGGAACGGTCAGTGATGAAGATTGGGCAAACTTACCGGAAGTGGGTGATTTGACTGGCAAGAACAGAAGAAGCAAACAAGAGTTGAGAAAGAAGTTTTATGCGGTTCCTGATAGTGTTATTGCTGGAGCTCGAGACACAACCGAGCTAGGAACTACTGTGATGGACGATGGTGGGGAAAGTGTAGGAGGCGATGGACTCGACGGTACCATGACCAATTTTGCGGATATCGGAGCGGCGCGAGATAAAGTTCTCAAAGTAAAGCTCGATCAGGCGTCTCAAGGAACCGATTCGATATCTGGAAATGCCACCAACATCGACCCGAAAGGATATCTTACCAGTTTAGCCAAATCACAAATCAACGAAGGAGAAACTCAAGTTGGTGACATTGTCCGTGTACGGACTTTGTTGGAATCTGTCATCAAAACAAATCCCAAGCATGCCCCAGGATGGATCGCAGCCGCTCGTCTCGAAGAGCTTGCAGGAAAGACTGTAGCAGCTCGCAATATCCTTGCGCGTGGTTGTGAATATTGCCCCAAGAGCGAAGATATTTGGCTGGAGAATATTCGATTGAATGACAACCACAATGCAAAGATTATTGCCGCAAATGCCATCAAGAACAATGACCGCTCAGTGCGATTATGGGTCGAATCAATGAAGCTGGAAACGGAACCTAGAGCTAAGAAACGAGTCATTAGGCTCGCTTTGGATCACATCCCGCAATCTGTAGGGCTCTGGAAAGAGGCTGTCAACCTGGAAGAAGATCCCAGTGATGCACGTCTACTTCTTGCCAAGGCCACTGAAATCATCCCCCTTTCTGTTGAATTATGGCTAGCCCTTGCACGATTAGAGACATCCGACAACGCCCAAAAAGTCCTCAATAAGGCTCGAAAAGCTATACCTACGTCCCATGAAATTTGGATAGCTGCTGCACGTCTTGGCGAACAAATGGGTGCAGCCTCCAAGATAAATGTCATGAACCGTGCTGTCAAGGCTTTAGCAAAGGAGTCTGCCATGTTGAAGAGAGAAGACTGGATCACCGAAGCAGAGAAATGTGAGGAAGAGGGGGCGGTTTTAACTTGCGGTAACATCATTAGGGAGACTCTCGGATGGGGTTTGGACGAAGATGATGACAGAAAGGATATCTGGATGGAAGATGCAAAGTCTAGCATCAACCGTGGAAAGTATGAGACTGCTCGTTCTATTTATGCTTATGCTCTTCGAGTTTTCGTTACTAGCACAAAGCTTTGGCTTGCTGCGGCAGATCTAGAGAAGAACCATGGGACAAAAGAAGCTTTGTGGCAATTACTCGAAAAGGCTGTTGAAGCACGTCCTACTAGTGAGGTATTGTGGATGATGTTGGCCAAGGAGAAATGGTTAGCAGGTGAAGTCGATAACGCAAGAAGAGTTCTCGGTAAAGCTTTCAACCAGAATCCAAATAACGAGGAAATTTGGCTTGCGGCCGTGAAATTAGAGGCAGAAAATCAGCAGCCAGAACAGGCACGAGAGCTTCTCAAAACGGCACGACAAGAAGCACCAACTGATCGTGTATGGACGAAGAGTGTGGCATACGAAAGACAATTAGGCAATATCGACGCAGCCTTGGATCTTGCGAACCAAGGATTAGCCCTGTTCCCTGGTGCTGCCAAATTATGGATGATGAAAGGTCAAATTTACGAAGGGGAAGGGAAAATGCCGCAAGCTCGTGAAGCTTACAGTACGGGTACAAAAGCTTGTCCAAAATCTGTGCCACTTTGGCTGCTGTATTCGCGACTTGAAGAGAGAGCCGGTATGGTCGTCAAAGCACGTAGTGTTCTCGACAGAGCACGATTAGCAGTCCCCAAATCCCCAGAATTATGGACCGAATCGGTGAGAGTCGAACGACGCGCAAACAATACCTCACAGGCGAAGATCATGATGGCGAAAGCTCTGCAGGAGGTACCCAGCAGTGGATTATTATACACAGAATCAATTTGGCATCTGGAAGCGCGAACACAACGAAAACCTCGCGCTCTAGAAGCCATTAAGAAAGTCGATAATGACCCTATCCTCTTCGTTACCATTGCGCGCATCTTTTGGGGTGAGAGAAGATTAGAAAAGGCACAAAATTGGTTTGAGAAGGCTATTCTGCTAGATAGCGATCTAGGTGATACGTGGGCTTGGTATTACAAATTTCTGCTACAGCATGGCACCGAAGTAAGTTTTTCCAGATATGAGAATGTGGAGAGGTTGGGAGGCAAGTCAAGACTGAGACTGATACTAATGAATCGGTGCAGGATAAACGAGCAGATGTCGTATCGAAATGTATACTCAGCGAACCGAGACACGGAGAGTTTTGGCAGGTGGTGGCGAAAGATCCGAAGAATGCAGGTATGGGTGTCGAGGAAATATTAAAGTTGGTTGTGGAGAAGGTGGTTTGAGTATGGATGGGAGTGTTGGTGAGAAGGTAATGGTTGTAGAGTATAATTGTGAAATAAATCTTCACGGAATATGCTGGGTTAGAGAGAGGTAGGTTTAAGATTGAATCAAGCTCAAGCTCGTTGCATACCATATCATTTTCATCATCGCATGTATTGTGATGTTTCGAATACGACTGAATAGAAGTGATTGATGGATTGATTAGGCGTGACGTGACAGTCCCCTTCCTGCCTGATCATCACAAAGCTCTCTTTCCTTTCTTTTTATTTTCCTACACAGCAGGGTACCTAGAATCATAGATTCCTAGATTCCTACTAGCAAACACTCCTTCCTTTTTTTTTTCTTTCTTTCCTCTTTTTCTTCCTTCCCTCCTTTGTAAGATATCTTGGTCATTGCAAGTGGCTTAGGGGTGGGTGGTTAAGGAGGGGAAGGAGACTCTAAGTTGAGCTTTGGCTTTGGAGGTGGGTTGGAGGTGGTTTGGAGGTGAAGGTAAGAGGATAGGTTGGGATAGGAGAAGAGAAAGGAAGGAAAGAAAGAAAAGTATACTGGTATATATCACTTTATTAATTCGGGTAATAAGTTTCTTGAAGAAGAAAATATTTGTATCTTACATGAGTAATGTGAGGGATGATGATTGAGCGTGTTTGATTTGGTTTGTTTTGGTTTAATGGATTAGATGCGACTGCCGGGTGGAAATGTCGATGCAAAAAATCAAATCTAATGGAGGTTTCGCGGGAATAGCAAACTTGTAATTCGCTGTGACAGAATGAAAAAGAGAAGGGCAGGTATCGAATAAATTTGACATTCATAAAATGGCAAGTAACAGGAAGTATGTGCGTGAAGGAGTTTGTATTCTTCACTAATAACACTATTGACTATTAACTATTCTCAGCCATCCATTCCTTTCTGTGCGTATCATACCGCCATGAAGTTCTCATGCCATACCAATCCATTCCATGGTATCCCGAGCAATTCCATCACTTGGTATGTTTGACGAAATCAAATTTACTTGTTGCCGGTGAGGGAGGATGCTGTAGAGATTATTAGCTATAGATCACTCGAATGAAACAAGGATTGGTGTGAATAGCGGGAAGAAAAATGAAGACATGACATACCGGTGTTAGAGATGGTATCAGAGACGGTGTTGGCAGCGTTACCAGCAGTGTCCGAGACGGAACCAAGAATACCCTTTCCTTCGCTCTGAGCATCATCGGCACCTCCGCGGGTCTTGTCGGAGACTTCTTGCGTGGTGGACTTGGAGTCGGCTGTGAGAAATGGATGTTAGTGGATGGTATGGAGAATTGGTATGGAGATGGTATGGAGATGAAGAATTAGGTGAGAGGATATATAGGATAGGAATATCATACATGGTTGAACGGCAGAGGCAGCCTTATCAGCACCTCCCGAGACGCTCTCGCTGATCTTGGTACCGGTGGACTTTTGGGAGTCGGGGGTGACCTTCTCGGAAACTTGTTCACCAACACCTTTGCGGAGATTGTCAGACATGTTGATTGATTAATGTAGGTGTGTTTTTGAAAGTTTGGCAGAAGTTTTGAAAGTGGTTGTTTTGATTTGTGTTTTTGATGTGTGAAAGTAGTTGAGAGATTGTTGTTTGATAAAAAGAAGTAGATAATTAAGAGGAAAAGAGTTTCCTTTTTATAGCTAGAGGTGTGGAAGAGGACTGGCACTAGTAAGGAAGAAAGCCATGCTTCTTTCCAAACCTGCTTTGAAAGAGGAAGGTGCCTGCCTACCTACTACCTAGTGAATTTGTGATGGTCCTTCAAGCAGCAGTAGTGGCAAGCAGGTTTAACTTTGCTTGCTCTCAAACGCAATCTAATGACCTATCAAATATGAGATAGCTACCTAGGTATGGCAGGCAATAGACAAAGAAAAACGAAGAACGTCATTGCCGAACAAGGCCAGCGCCACAGGTCGCATGATCATAATTGTGGCTATTTATCTATCGATCCATTTGTTCGGATCCAGAGCCTCAAATTTATGAATCGATCGTCATACTTATGAGTTTGCGCCTATTAGATATACTTCGCTTATGGACGATTTTTAAAATCCCCTATGTTGAGAGCTCGCGATTTCATGGAATATTATCATTCCATTACATTAATGAAATCACTTGACATCGGAATGGTTGCATGGCTTCCGAGATATGGAATAGAAGATGATGATGCAGGAAGATTGTGATAGATCGATCCTGATTCCTGCTCCTTGCCTCCTCTATCCTTTCGAATGCATATGATGTAATGTCACATAACATGTAACAGGGATCTCTGTGTCACCATTTCCAATTAATGGCGATATGGAAAGGCGTTCTTGTCTCGTGAAGGTCGAAATGGTAAATTTACAAGTACCATGAAAGATTTAAAATCATCGAGAGCATGGATGAATAATGTCAAGAGCAAGAGTTGTGTGTGTATCGCAAACACGTGATTAGCGGAAAGGAAGAGGAGGAACCTACGTTTGAACTTCAACATCAATTTTTAAATCGATGTGGTTAAGTTCTAATACTTCCAAGGTATCAAAATATTGAGCGAAATGTGAAGATATAAAACTCTATGGTTACAAGTACCGGTAGGTACTGGTGGGGCCGGCTCTTGATTACCTAAACATTACATAACCAATGATTTTGATTGCCGGCACACGTGCTCAGGCGTTTTTTATTAGATGTGCAAGCAAATCACAACGTTTATCGTCAAACGTGTTAACAGCTTCAACCTTCCTCTATCCCATTCGGTTCGTGTGGTCTGCCATCGTCCTTGAGTCAAAGGATGAAGTTGAATCAAGCCAGAAGCCTCGAACCTTAGTTTTTAGTTTTGTCCGGGAAAGCTTCATTGGAAGCAGTTCAAACTTTATCCTCACGTCGGTGATCTTCGCTATCATGGATTTTGTCGCCGAGAACTCACCACTGGGAAGGGCCAGCTACATTATGGAAATTGGTCTTCACAGTAGCCATTACTTCATACGACATAAAACGCAGGATGCCGCGTTCTAGATGTAACAGTCACAAAGTGTAGTCAACAAGTGTTGCATCACGGTCAATTCCATCGAGTTAGTGAGCTCTTCAATTACATTATATCTACACCGCGTCACAAGCAATCATACCATTCAAATCTATGGCATAGTTAAATTTCCTTGACTGCATCACCATTTCCACTCTTCTCGCTACCATCCAGTGGTATAACGACATGTTCGTCGACGTCTTTCCTTCTAACGTCTTCATTTACAACCTTGAATAGAACATCCATCTCTTCCAAACTCAAGCCTTTGGTCTCAGGAAGGAACAAGGTGAAAACGAACGCGACCGAATTAAATGTTCCGAAGATCTATCCATATCAAGAGTCATTAGCTTTACACGACTTTTCAATTGCTTTCATTCGAACACAAAATGACGTACCATCCAAGTTTTCCAGCCAATGTTCAACACTGCAATAGGAGTTTCTCTGGAGACGACATAATTGAAGAGCCAGACAACCATGACACTGATGGCCATTCCCCAGTCACGAATTCGAGTCGGATATATCCTAAGATTGTCAGTCTATTATATCAATAAGCGCAGTATTGTGATAACCTACTCTCCAATATACACCCAAGCGATAGGTCCCCAAGACATGGAATAGAAGACAACGAAAAGGTAGATAATGGCCATCTAGGAAGGTTAGCCAATGACTTAGATGACTTCAGTAGAGTACTATTACCATTCCCTTTCCGCTCGGTGTATTGTTTGTTACCTGTCCAGTGGCTGGTGGATGTGTGGCTAGGACTGCTCCGAGGGCAAACATCGTGACTGCCATACCAGCACTACCTATACTTAAGAGATGCTTTCTTTTGAATTGTTGGATCTAGATGATATCAGCGTCAGCGTTTTGTTCAGTATCGTTGTGGGGGATATAAATCGACAAAGGCATATTGAAACTCACTCCTGCAACCAAGAAAATAGCAGTAACAACCACCTTGAGACAGGTAAAGATTCCACTGGCAAAAAGAGCAGCATTCTGAGCGGTGAAGCCAATCTGCTTGAATACCGTTGGCCCATAGTACAAGATACCGTTATGTCCACACCAAATACTGAAGAATGAGACACCACATCCCCAAACAAGACGAAGAAGATTTCTTGATTGAAACAATTCAGTGATCGATCTACCAGAGGTCGCGGCAATTTCCTCTTCAATCTGCGCATGCATCTCTGCAATCTCAGTTTTGATGTCCAGTTCCTCTGACGTCGAGCCTCTGAGGTAGCATAATGCCTTTTCGGCCTCATCCCATCGACTTTGTTTGGCAAGCCATCTTGGAGACTCGATTATAAAAAATGATCCGAGCATGATAATTGCGGAGAGGATAATTTGGATGCTCAGTGGAATTCGCCATTGTTTGCTTGTGGGTTGTAGATGTAACGAGCATCCGTATGTTGTCCAATAAGCTAGCAGTCCGCCACTAACAAGAAACATCTCGAATAGTCCCATCAAGAACCCTCTCAGTTCTTTGGGTGCAGTCTCGGCAACAAAAACAGGAGTGAGATTGCTAACCATACCGACACCAAAACCGGAAATAATACGGCCAGCATAAATCATGGCGAGAGAAGGTGGCTGAGCAGCAGTTTGAAGAATTCCACCGAGCATAAGAAAGGCAGCTGCAATAGTCATTGTCGGCTTCCGGCCAATGTACTTTGTGAGAATAGCTGGGGCTATAGCTCCAAAGAATGCACCGGCATTGAGCAGTGCTACTATATTGGAAGAGATGTATGCCGAGTGCGCAGGGCTAGTGGAGAGCTTAAATTCCGTAACGAAACTATTTCGTGGTTAGCAAACCTTCTTTCTCCGTTGAAACCATTTCATAATTACCTTCTTAATGCCACTACAGATCCCGCAACACCTGTGTCGTACCCGAACAGCATAGAAGCCGTATTAGCCACAGCAGCAACAGACACTGCGCCTCTGTGCTTTGACAGGAGTTCTAACGTTGAAGGCATGATTGATCTGGTAAGTGAAAACACATGTGAAGGAAGAACAAACAAGGCAACATATATCTATCGTAGATAAAATTATCTGAAGGTAAAACCACTATCGCTGCAGGACGCGACAATTTCGTCGCAACTGCAAGTCTTCACAAAAACAGCAAAATTTCCGCCTTCTTCCAGTGATCAATATAATGCCCCATGGGGCATTTGCTGACTATAGTTACTAGATCAGGATAGTACCCCGCGAGCCCACACACATGTCAAATTACTACAACTTACACTGGAGCTTACCATGCACGATACATGGCACTAATGAAATCTAACGGTAGAGTCTCGGCGTTTCAAAATCTATCTATCGATTTCGCGGTTTCTGCAACCGGGCTTTTTGCCTTCCTCGACTACGAGTACATACAGTAGTATACAGGTACAGATAACAGGAGTTGCGCATCAGGCTATCGACTCGGTAAATCTGTACAACTGATTGAATATAGATTAACTCCAAGATGAACCGCGTCCCTGGATGTCGCCCGTTTGTGGCAAAATATCAATCTGCACTCCCGCCACTATGTGCTGGGCTCTTAAACTGAACCGAACTTCTACTGCTGAAGCCTGAAGAGCTCCTACTCCTCTTCAATGTTGGACAATGGTGAGAATAATTACAGTCAAATGGAAGCTCTTCACTTCCCGGAGATAGGTGATCATTAGCACACATGGTTTACTTGTATCACAATCACAAATGGTCAATGGTATTTTACCACAATCTGTTTTAATGGTTTTGGGTCTACTCGAGTAGATTTCGCAAAAGAATCGCTCCTATACAATATTCGCAATCTGGAATTCATTTAACGGTAAATTAACTAAATGTTTAGCGACTTTCAACGAAAGCCTAAATGCTTTCAACAGAAAAAGAGTTTCTCTACCGATTTAATGACGAAAAAGTTTCAAGAACCAGACCTGACCTGACCTCATAAGCGTGTGTTTTTGCGCACAAATGAATGCGTCGATCGACTTGGTGATCATCAGCTTTTCAGGTCTCCAATTTTACGTTCGTATGATACACCTTCATATCGGCGACAAACAACAACGCTTATGAACAGACTGTAACTCGGCTTGTGCATAGGCAAAAGAATGGGCCAGCCCTAGCGAATCCCACTATCCCGCAAGCGAAGATTAGTTTCCGCCCATTTTTATTCCTTATCACGACTTCAAGCACCGAGGCTTGAATGGTTTATATAATTGATTGTCCTTCGAAATTTGATATTGATTTAAGCAGAGAAAGTTATCGTGAGGTTAATCACAGAAGAAAGATGACTATTCTGGAATATCTTCGAAATGACACTTTGGCAAGGGCCTCTGATAAGGAATGCCCCCCTGTCAGGTATCCTCGAGGTATCTTATTGTTTTGGAACAGGGTTTAAAACCTTACGAAGTTATGATTAGCCATGAGCTAATAACAGCTGATGGGATCGTTTGGGGAATCAAAACCCGAGCCGAATTGTGGGGTTCTTGGATTGAAACCTTGTTTTCAACCGGAGTTTGGGGTTGTGCCGGTGTACTCTACAAGCGTACGGATCCTTCCAACAATTTGTCTGTTTGCATGTGGCTTTCAGTGCCCAGCAATTTGTTGATTGGTTTGCTTGTAAAATGGTATCGGAATTTCAGGGGCGAATTGAAATGAGCGGATATTTTCACCAAGACACTACTGCATAGGAAATGTATATGGAAGGTGTGGGGCCAAGATAGATAGTCGTTCATTTATTAGAGTTTTCGGTCGCGGGGATCATGGGCTACCGAAAGATTGAATGGTACGATAACTTTCGCCTCTTGTGTTTGTGCTTGAGAAACTCCTCGTTGTCAAGTTAGGCAACTAAAGCGATTTCTGTGCGGGATGTCAATCATATAGATGATATTAAGGAGCACTGTCAAAACCTCGAAAGGACAAGATAGAGTTATGGCTCGGGTCCCAATTGACGGAAAGCGAAACGGGTAGCTGCGTCGATCGTGGTTCCATTGCAGACATCTCCTGCCGTAGGATTCTGTATGGAAGGCAGTCTGGTAACGATTGTATCGTTTGAAACCCCTGTCAGCGACAAGGGGAGTGAAATTTTCAAAATAGGCAGTTCAGTTCCTAAAACCATGTAATTAGGAGTTTGTTCGTAAGCTTGAATACATATATTAGTTCCATAACGATAGAATATTGACACCCAAAGGCCACGGTATATACATAGCTTTGATCCGGTGTCATGGAACTGGAGGTTTTATGGAATATCTTCTAGAAAGTATATCATCATGTCCACTTTGTGGGTCTACAACTCGACACCAGAGGTTAATGCTCAATCCAACTATCCATTGATCTTGGGGGTTTCATCCCCATTGCTGCTGTTGATGCTCATCACGGTCGGCACTCGATTGTATGTCAGGGTCCGTACGGTGCGAGGAATTGGCGCCGATGACTGGGCTGTCGTGATTGCGGCGGTAAGTTTCCATTTCTGCCTTCACTCGCACTTTAGCTGATGTTCTTTGCTAGCTGTGTAGTATTATTTATAACTCCTGCACGATTGCTCGTAAGAAACATCTCAACCAATCAACCAAACTTAATCTGTGCTAATGGTTATGGTGAACAGAATCAAGATGGGGTTTAGGTCTGCCGTTAGCTCTTAGGCCACTGGTCAACTTGAATACATATTCTGTAGTGAGTAACCACTAATGAGCGCAGGGGAAGATACCTACTGATGAAAAAGCATAGGTCAATTATGCAGGTCGTCCTTTCTACATGATGGGGATCCTGGGTTTCAAAGTCTCGCTTTGCTTCTCCTACCTGCGCATCCTTTCTATGGGCCAGCCAAAATATCGTCTCTTGGTTTGGTTTGTAATGATACTCTGTATCCTAGGACATTTGGCTGGAACTTTTGTCCTAATTTTCAACTGCAATCCGGTACGTCTGAATATTATAGCCATATCTATCTTTGGATCCAAATACCAGTCATATATACTAATATATCATACCAATACATAGGTTCAAAGATCGTGGCACCCCGCGACAAATCCAGGAACATGTCTTCCAGTCGGCCCCTTATTCCTAGGTCTAGCTATCACTTCAATCGTATTCGACGTGATTATTTTCTTCCTCCCCATCCCTTTTCTATACGGCTTGCGCATGGATAAACGGAGGAAATTCGGCATCATAGCTGTTTTTGCCCTCGGCATTTTCACCACCGTTTGTTCCATCATGCGCATGACGGAAATCCCGGTTATTGCGACGGGCAGCGGCAATTCTACCATGTTGGTTCTGTGGGGGAACATTGAGTTGAATGTTGGGGTGCGTATTTCTAAACTTTTCTTTCTTTTTCTAATCTTGCTATATTTTTCGACAGTTGCTGAACGAAACTAATAATCAATACCCAGATCATCCTAACCTGCATGCCGGTCCTAGCTCCTCTCTTCAAAGTCTTCAGTAAGAAATTGATCTCTTCGGGTAAGACGTCGGGCAGTAATCCGTATGCGCATACGGGGAGTCATAATATGCAGGTTTTTACCAATAGTAAATCACAGCAGCGGGCTACGGTTACGAATTTCAATTCGAGTGGCAATGTAAATGGGATTGGGAATGTAAATGCGAGGGTGTTGAGAGCGTCGAAATATCCGGGGGATGTGAGTGATAATGAGAGTCAGGAGACGATTTTGGGGAAGGGGGGGAGGGATAAGGAGGGGGGTGGGTATGAGGGGAGTGAGGGGATGGGGCTGGGGAGTCAAAGTGGGAGGAGTGGTATAAGTGAGGATAGGAGGAGGAGTGTAGATAGGAGTGGGAGAGTTAGTGGGAGTTGGATTAGTGATGAGAGTAAGGGTGGAGATGGAGATGAAAATCGCAATGATAATGGGTTGGAATTCGAGGGCATAATGAGGACAGTAAGAGTCGATGTCAGTAGTGAAGAACGAGGGCTTGGAGAAGATGTTTTAGACAATAGGCGTGGGAATATGTGATTAATTGTACTGGAGAGAAAATATCTTGGTAATGTAAGAATACGAGTATGTGATATACGAGTACTTGGGATAATGTTAGACGAGTAGAAATATATAAAATTGAGATGTATGTTTGTGGATGTCGGCAAATGGAAGGATGATGGTGTTAGGGTTATGCTATAAATTCTAGTAGTATAGGCGGGTCCTTGTGTAAGGTTAGGTTGAGTTGGGTTAGATGAGGTCAAGTGAAAGTGGGTGAGATTGGAGGTTTGCACTGCTGGAAAAAAAAGAAGAAAAAATTATTCTAATTATTAGATATCAAATACTATAAAGGAATAAACAATTAAACAAATATATAAATATATAAATAATCTTAAATAGATATATATCTAATACTTATTTGAGATTTCATTTATTCTTTTTATTTATAAAGAAATAGTTATATATTATTGATTATACTTAAGTAATTAATACTAATTGTAAATAATGATTTCAAGTTGATAAGAATATCTAGATTATATACGATTGTTATATATAGATTGCTAGTATTAGTATATATATTATAATAAATGAATAAATTAGAACTACGAGTATACTAGTATAGTACTTCATCTCGGGCCTTACTTATAATTCTTGGACTCATCTAAGTATATAGACTATTATACTACTCGAGTACTTTATTTTATTTTAGATCTTACTCGTAGTTGATATAGTTAATCGAAACACTTACTATATACTGGAGTCTTGAGATCATTGTGCCAATGTACTTACTGAAAACGATTGAAGTAGCAATTAGAAAACATTCATTCTATGAATAAAAAAAGCCTTTATGGAATTTTAGGTCACTCTAGCGAAATGCGATCTGCTGCATACAGTTCCTTATCCGCAACCCCCTATCTACTGCGCTTAACCTTGTAACGTCACGCTGATTATGCATCCATATTCACATATTCACATCTCCACATCTCAATATCTCAGCATTTTCGCTATGAACTCCATTCCCCGGAGCATGCAAAGAAAACCCTACGGAACCCACATCCTATCAAAAATCCCCTAAACACCTTTTTGAGTTCTCCTCTCCTCTCCTTCAACTTCCACTTCCCAAAACCTAACCACAACACCACATATTTCATACTCCTCACAAACTACCTCCATAACCCAGCCCCAATCCCAATCCCTGTTCCTCAAGAGGAAATCCATACCCCCTCGCCTTTTTCATCGCTTCAGCCAATGACTCTTTATCGTGTTTCAGCCGCTCCCTTTCATTCAATTGTTTCTGATCTTCTCCTGCGATTTTGTTGAGACCGTCTCGATCCTATGATTGGTGGGGAGATCCCAGGGTCAGTTATCATGAATCCTTAAATTGATTTTGAGAAAATGAGGTGACAAGTACGTATCTCTATCGTTTTGCTCGTACGTATCACACAGGTGGAAACATAAAGAGAAGTAAATCTTTGAAGGAGAAAATGGAGGGAGTGAAAATCAAACAGATCTAAAAAGTACTTACATTTCTAAACTTACTCGTCACCAGATCCGGCGCGAAAGTTCTCACGGACTCTTCCCTCCCAACAGATGCCTCTCGCAGACCTGGTGACAAACGTTATCAACAAACCTGATCATCGCAGTCTCATAATAGCTAGCCAGCTTATCATGCGTGATGAAAATCGACTCAATATCCTTATTCTGAGCAACCCAGCTGGTAATCTGGGTTTTCACCATTTCTCTATCAGTCCTGTGAATCTTCTCCAGCGTCTCCTGCATATGCGTCATTCGGGTAATACTCAAAGTCTCAAGCGTCTTCACATTCCAATTGTTGAGCGTAACAATCAATCCGGAATTTTCATCATTGATCAGCAAATCCAATTCGCGCCTTGCATCGTCGTGGATGCTCTTTTTGTCTTGTTCGAGCCAGGCTTGATTTTGGATCGGAGTGCATCTTCTTCGCAGTGACAATGCAATAACATATTAACTGCCTTACCGATCGAGTTCACTAGCGACTCGATGAGTTTTTCCGTTCGTCTCTTCCATTTCGGCGTGAATTCCCCCCAGAGACTACGCAATACACTCGTGTTGACTTCATTTGTGGACTCTTTTCCCCGGTTATCGAGGATACACTGATGAATCTTGGCGAGAAACGGATTCTTCAGAATGTCGGCTTTCCAGGCTCTTGAATCTGTCGATGAGAGACCAAATCCGGGGCGTTTATAATTGAAACGTTCTTCAAAATCGGATAGCATGCTATCTCTGAACACCTCCAAAGCATCGCGCACAATCTTTCGGATTTTGACTTCCGGACTTCGTGGTTTGAGTCAATCATAGTGACCATCGATGGCGTCTGCTGAATTCATGGAAAAGCGCGTGCTGAGACTAATAATACAGTGCATTTGATCATTAAAAGAAATTCGTGGCTGTCCCAATCCGTCGATTCTCTTAACGATATTCTTTAAGCGAGCGTCAATTTCGGGGATTAGTTCTGGAATACTGCGGGTGACATGTTCGTTGTGCATTTTTGTCAGTGCATCTTTCAAATTCTTGATGCCAAGATTGTTGGGTCGCTTTAAACTTGTCCATGGGAGCTGCTTGAAGAACTCTAGTTCCTTTTTATCTCGGGTTTCATGGATAGGATCTTCCTTCCTCTCAGTAGGAGAGAGATTTCGAAGCGCAAACCAGCCGTATGTAAGATGCGTGTCAAAGTCTTCGCCATTTTTGATGGCGTCAAGGATCTAAAGTTATTGGGGTGTGATTAGCTTATGATTCTCGGCAAGGTTTTAAGAACGAGACTGAACACTAGAATACGTACCCAGGCATCTCCCTCAACATCAAGCCTGTCACATTTCGTATTAACCCCGATAACCCGGTTCTTCCAATCCGAGAATAGGCTGCGCAGAAATACTCCGCTACCCGTGGGGACCCGTTGAGCTTTCAAAATTATCCGCCCCGCAAATACTCTGCAAATTTATTAATTTTTATAATATTAATATAATTAATATAAAGATTAATATAAAAACTAATATATTTTTATAATTATACTAATATTTATAATATTATAAATATTATAAAATTTATATCTGCGGAGTATTTGCGGAGTATTTGCAGCGGATACCCAACGAGTCCCCATTCAGATTTTTCTATTATCCGCCCCGCGGGTACCCGTTGCGCAGCCTATCCGAGATTGTCTCGATGATTTGAAAAATATCCTGAACTTCGCGATTGGCAGGATGTGCAACTGCCCTATAGCTTTTTATTAGTGAAACGATACGGAGTTTACGACCAACAGACTTACAGAACAATGCTTCGAGGATTATTGATGTAACAGTCTACAAGATCTTTGGCCATCTTGTGAGCACCATGGCCCGCTACAGACTGTCAGCAGCCGCAGGCTGAGAAAAAGACTCATCTCTACTCACATGCAACTAAGCCAGGTATATCGACGATTGTCACGTTGGGTTCTTCTAGGCCTTTGCGAACAATTTTCAACGTTGCATCACTGAGCATTCTCCTTTGTTTTTGAGCTGCGTTACCTTGATTACCTTGTCCAGTTTTCTTAGAAACATCCGCTTTCCCCATAATTGCCTCCCTCGCCTAACACTCTGTTAGCATTTATACCCTATGATGTCCTTTTGAAGAGATGTGTTACACTTGTGATTATCTCACTGAAGCTTGCAGATTTTCCTTCCTCGCTGCGTCTTTGATTGTTGAATATGTCGATTTCTTTCGATTGCTTCTGGAGGAACTTCTTATCAGCGGCGGTTTGATTAAGTGCGTCAATTGCACGAATTGGCTTCGTGATGCTGAACTCAAAGGAATATTCTGACGCGTGTTGTAAGGATACTTCGGTAGGAAAATGAGTGCAGAGACCATCGTCAATAGGGAACGTAAGACGAGTGATGGCTTGTAGGACGAAGTTCTTGCCGGAAATTTGCATCGATGAATCTTAGTTTCGTCATAGTGTCTTCATTTCCCAAATCACGAGCGATTGATACCGCATCGTCATCCTGATCATGATCGCTCTCATGAGAATCATCAATATCCGTTCCGCCATCAGCAGTAGACATATCTTCTTGACTTGGTTTTGAGTAAACCATCCCAATACGAATGAACTCTTAATGAATAACTGAAGTAATTGAAAGGTTGCGTAACGAAAATGCAGGTTTCAATCCAGATATCAACCCATCAGATGTAGTCATATATATATGTATTGCTTGCCGTACCTGACCATCATATCATCTCATTGATCTCATACAAAGATCAATTGCCGTAGGAAGACATAGCTTTCTTCCAATTTTGCATTAAAAACACCGAATCTTCTGGTGCCAGTAATGTTGTTATCCTTGATGTAGAATGAAATTTACCACAAGTAAGCTACGACTCATGGAAAAGTTATGGCAATTCTGTAGTAAAACTTGATAGAAAGTCATTGAACCCAATAAAGATTAAAATTACCAGTTCAAGCTGGAAATATTTGCCAAATTATCAAAAGACTTGAATTAAGAATATCGATCGAGATCTTTCACCAAACAATCAAAAGTAATCAAAAGCTCGAATTACAAACACCAAATATCATTCAAACCTCTGGATCCTACCAAAAGCCACCCATTCATGACCAATGAAGATAAACATGTAAAACCTCTTTATAAAAACACCTCATTACACCTCGACAACCACATGCACATGAGATACTTCTCGAAAAACCCATCTACTATACTCGTATAGTCCCATCCCACTTGAGGAAACCAAAGCAATTGCATTTCTATACCAAAAAGAACAAAAATAGGATGAGAATGTTCTCGCCATGATTCCGTAGAAAGGGATGTATGTGTTTGTATCTCACTGGATTTGCAATGAATAGAGTAATTTGAGAAACTTGAGAAACCAAAGCAATTGCATGCATACATGTCGGAATAAACAGAGCGAGAAAGCGACATTTACACCTAAAGGAGAACAACAAGAAAAACTTTCTCGAACCATCATTGTGCAGAAAGCTGTTCCTTTTCCATAATCAACCGAGTCGAAATTTGAATTGAGTGAATGGATGAAGATAAAAGAGTTGAATTTGAACTCACTTTGAATTGACAAGAAATCAAAATCAAAAAGGGGGAAACCAATGAACCATTCATTTTCCACACTAGCGCCCTCAACCAATTAGAAAAGGAAAGACCTAGAGAGCCCTTTCCTATTTCTTCATTCTATCCCTTTTCAGAATTCAGTTGATTCTTATAATCTCAACTATTCATCCCCCTTCAGAAAAAGCAAAAACGATCAAGGTCTATGAACATCCTTTTCAAACTCTTCAAACTTATAATCTTCACGAACACATACAAGGTGATAATGTAGAGCATCAAATCAACATCGAATCAAATCAGCTCTTTATCGATAGAATAGGATAACTAATCATATCATCGATACCTTAATCACCACATATCTACAAAGCCCCTTAGACTACCTAAAACATAAAGAAAAATCAATAGTATCATACCGTATCATCACCACATCATCGCGTCCCAAAACCAACCCATCTGGAGTATTCAACAGTCCGGACTACAGGATGGACTAGCATATTTAGATTAAACAGTTGACCTTAAGTCTAATGAAAAGGTAGACTAGCTACTAAACCAATGATATTTAAAACTAGACTAACTGTATTGCCGTCTAGCTAATTTAGACTATAGTCTGAAATCTAATTAAAACCATTATTAAAATAGTCTTGATTGAACAATAATTGAGATTAAGAGAAGATTTGTGAATTTTGAGGTCTTTTGAATAGCGGTATTGTTGAATATTTGAAAGTGTTGAAGTAAGAGATTATTAAATCTCATAAACCCAAAAGGTGCTATATCTTAATAATTTTACTATATTGTATAATTATTTATATAGAGTAAGATTTTTTACAATTTTAAATCACATAATTTTTATTAGTAAACTAATCCAAAAATCCAGATTGCCATTTGGATTATTTCATATAAGACTTGCTGAGCTGGACTTTTTATTTCGGATTCACCCCAATAGTCCGTCCATGTAGTCCAATTATATCATAGATTAGCCATCTAGACTGCCGTCCGGACTTTAGACTTTAGACTATTGGACATGCTGAACCTATCTCGCCCGCTCGCTCTAAAGAAACCAAACCCATCACTCCTCACCCCTCACTCCTCACCACACCACCCAAAACCTAGATAACCCATCTATTATCTACGGTACCCCTTCAATACTTATAGAAAAAGGGGCAAGGAAATCTCCAGCCCAACTCAAATTTTCTCACCCTCCACCCTCCACCCTTCTCACCCTTCTCACTCCTCTGCCTTCCACCCCTCCTCTAACAAAACTCCCCTAGCTAATACAAGTAATCTATACCGGCAGTACCCATGACTCTATCCCCCATTCCTCATCCCTCATTCCCCATTCCCCATTCCCCAATCCCATTTTCTTACTATAATCTCAATCGATACCCTTATTAATTCTCTTATATACCTATCTTTATATACATACCATTTATATACTCTTTCTATACCCTCCACTCATCATTTATATTCATATACATCCACCTACCACTTCACCCACCAACTTCGCTTCCTCCCATTCCAAGTTCCTCCCAACCCAAGAATACACAATCCCTCATCCCTCAATCTCCAATTCCTCCGTCCTCTTATCTCCTCAGGCTAGATCCTCAAACTCCTCAAAAGATCTCGACTATCAACTACTCAATTACTGGTATCAACCTTCAAATCCCAACCTTCAAATTTCACATTTCACATTCCCCCCCTTCCCCCCAACTAAACGCAATTTAAATCATTTGTTACTACACCCCCCCTCTCCTCTCCTCTCCTCTCCTAATTCTTAATTCCTCTATTCCTTTACCCTCAAGTACAAAATCCCCAATTTCCAATCCCCAAAAGAACTTCCCCAAAAACCCCCATCCCCAAAGAGAACTCCCCAACTCCCCAAATTCCCAGCACCCATCATCCAACTCCCCAAATTCTCAATCCCAATCCCAATCCCAATCCCAACACCCAACCCACCAAAAGAACTCCCCAACCCCAATCCCAATCCAAAAACACAATTAAAATGATAACTTTTGATACTTATTACTTATACTTATACTTATACTTATACTTATACTCATAATCAAGTCAACTCAAATCAAATCATAATCATACATTAGACCTAACCTCACATAACCTAACCTAACCTAACCTAACCTAACATAGCCTAACCTAGCCAGAGCTTCATCGACCATAGATTCAGATTCATCACATTCATTCCACACTACTGTAGTGAGTACCTGGGTAAGTGTTATAGTAATTGTACTCAGTATAGATCATTGATATGAAAGCAAAGGAGTGAGATAATTTAGGTCTTCTCTCTTTCCTCTTTCCTCTTGTCCCTTTCCTCACAAATACATTCATCCATCTATTCATTCATTCATTCATTCACATCACATCACATCACATCACTTTACTTTATTTTCATCTTCATTTCTGACTTTAACTTTGACTCTACTTTGACTTTGCTTTGATATAATTCCATTCATTCACCATATCACATCACGTACTCTACTCTACAGTACAGTAAGTACACCCCCTCAAGTACCTTTCTCAACTACTTTCCTCAAGTATCTTTCTCATTCCCTGCCTCTCACCTGCTTCCCATCCTACATTCTACAATATAGTCCCGCCAAAGTGAACTCTCAACCATCATTGAAAGCTCTCCCTGGCCCTCTCAGTCATCAGATACTGACTTAGTGCCATTTTCATGTATGCCGTTTGTACAAATTCCGCCTTCATCTTTCTCCTACCTTTCCCCATTCAATGCCTTCCATTTCCCACTAACCACCCCCCCTTCTCAGATACATCCGCCCCTTCCCCTTCCCCAATCCATCCCCTCCTCACTCCATCTTACACCAACCATTCGTCCATCCGCAATCATAAAAGCCGTTATTTATTTCATCCCATCCCATCCCATTTCTTCTGCAAGAAAGGCCAAGCCAAGCCTAACCCAATCCCATCTATATGAATTTGTTGTGACAGAATAAACATCTATGATCATTTCATTTTCGCCCAACCAACCCAATCAAAGGAAACACAAGCCTTGCCACCCCCCACCTTCAAAAAACCAAACCCAACCCAGTACACCTCTCCCCCATATCAAGTTGTAAAAAGGTAAAAGAGAAATGACGACATGAAATTTCGCCAATTGCCAGGTATATCGTGTCTTCTGTGGTAAACAGGAGAAGTTGTCGTATCGTACTTGACAAAGGAAACTCGTTGATTAATGCTTTTAGTCGCAAGAAATCGGAAATGTTCATAATCCCGAATGATTCAAAGCGCTAAGTTCAAGTGATTCTGTTTTGTATAATCCAACGGAAGAAAGAGATAATAAGAAAAAGCTCATCCTGTGTGTGTAATGCGAAAAATAATTGTTCGCCTTTGCCCGCCATATAAGCCCCCATGAAAAGCGCCTTCGCTTGAGTTTATGATATGACTGTGATGATACCGCTCAATTTAAGAAACTATAAGCAAAGGATGATAAAAAGAAATATTTGGTGGTTGATGCACCACCCAAGCTGTAATGTGGAGTGTTATACTCCTCTAATCGAATAAGTGATGAGTCGGGTCGATTATGTGGACATTGTCGGGATCTTGATCAGCGGCATTTGGTTTCACTGTTGCCCTACCCTCCACCCCTACACTCCTGGCTTTGGAGCTAAGCGGAAGTGTATATTTCAGGGTTCCTCGGACGATGAGGTCGAACTCATGTTGAAGAACTCGACCCCAACGCTCGGATCCACGTGGCTCCGTTTGGTTGCCAGGTTTTAGTATTCGCATTTCACCGAGTGATACGGATGATAAGCGTTGAAATGGCGACCCTTCAAAGATCAATGGACTCTCGAAATCGTAAATGTGTCCAATTTCCAGGTTCGGATTGGTGTTTGGATCATCATCCATCGGTGGATCATCAATTGGGTCATCCCGTCTTTGTTTGGATCCACGTCTCCATGAGAATCTCCCTGAAGGCTGTGCCCACCATTCAGAATCTGTACCAGCATATTTAGATTTCGCAAAGATAACCATATCCATGGAGTCGATAGTAACAGCTACCAAATTTGGATTCTGGGCAATAACCTGTAAATCTATAATCACATCTTGCTCACTGGCCAGTATGTTTTTCAAGGCCAACACCTTCACGTTCGCTAGGGGTTGAGTTGTCGCAAACATGAATCCAACAGCACCTGAGACAACTAGGAGGACTAATAAAGAAAGGAACATGCAACCGGCAAATCGAGCGAAGAATGAGCGGTTCTGACGTTGGTGTTCTGTGTGTCTTGATGATGGAGCACCTCCACGGCGTAGGCGACTTGATCGAGCCGAACGGATTGTGGACGGAATGAGTGGTGTTCTTTCATCGTCCGCTGCATCATCAAGATCATATCCCGAACTGATTGGTGATGTCTTCTTGCCGTTTCCATTCCCTGCCAAAGACATTCTCGCTGTGTTCACTACTCGAGGGCTGGTAGGTCTCGAACCTTGCCGGCTAGGGTTTGCCGAAAACTTTGACTTTGCGGCACTAGGAAAAGGCGATTCATTATCGAAGAGAGATGCATGACCGTTGCCCCCAGTTCTGCCCCAACGACTGAAATGATGATGTGCAGTCCCTCTAGCTAGATTACTTCGTGCTGTGCCCTTTCCGTCGTCTTCTGTTGTCATTTCTGGACCTGCGCTGGTATAAGAGTTTGCGAATTTCATACTCTTCTTCATTGCCACACTATGACCGCCGCTATCCATCATGGAGCGCAAACCATTTCTTGCGTCTACTTGACTGGCCATGGATGTAGCACTTGGCGTTCGGGAGTGAAATCGACGCGGTCTCTCTTGTTCTGGTGGATTTGATTCATAAACGAAGGTCTCTTCGGAGTCGGACGAATTAGCTTCGTCGACCGCGCTCGCGACTTTGGCTTCGAAGATATCTGCTTTGGATGAAGCTGGACGTTGTCTAGTTAGCAAAACAGCGGCACTATATAAATTCAAACTGGGTCTACGAGAGGACATCTCTGATACCGTCCGCTCGGGACTCGTTGAGTCTATACTCCCTTTACGTGGCGAGGGTCCTTGTCCGCACGCTATGTCTGGAGACCGAGCGGAATATGCACTTGAAATTGATCGTGTAGAAAGATGATGATGTAATCTGGATCTTGAAATTGTTTGCTCACCCGTTCCAGAAGTCACCGATGGGGCCTTGCGAGTTTTCTTCTTTTCCTTCCTAGGTCGTATAGTTTCCGTACTTTGCTTGGCTCGTAAACTTCCACTGGCTCCTAACCCCCCGGCCCCTGTAGCAAGAGTAATCTGCGGAATGGAGCTAACGGTCTCTGTCTCAACTGTCATGTTTTTCGCAGAACCCTCTCCCGATGGTTTGCCTCGCCCTGCTGCTGGTCCACTAAGTGTTTTGAGTGGTCCCGGTCGACTTGTCGTGGGAGGAGTGGTCTTCATCTTGCTATCCCCCTTACCACCACTCTCGCTCCCACTCTCATTTGTAACCAACGTCGGCCGGGATTTGAGCGTCTCAACCGATGCGCCGTCCATTAGGTCTTGCTCCGTCGGTACGGTTGGAATTCCATGAGAAGTTCTATCGATTGCGCCATCGAGTTCGAAAGATGGGGTATTGGGTTGGCTGATCTCCTGAACGGTTTCTAACGTAGAGCTACCACCACTGACACCTCTCGCAGGCGTTCTCATCCCTGGTGTTAACAAATTTTCTTCTGTTTCGCTATCTGCAGCCAATTTTCCTTCCGCTCTTGGCTCTGCGGCGGGAGAGGTTCTTTGCACATTGATCGCGGGAAGGTCTTGATCCGTCTTTCGTGGCGATAACAAGCTACTTTGTCTTGGAGGGGGTGACCTTATTCTCGGGGATACAGGCCAACGTGGACCATCTCTGACTTCACTCGTCACTAGCGGCTTCTGAGGTATTGGTGCTCTAATCGAAGGTTCGGATGCAAGGTGATTCAAGGTAGGAGTCTTTTGAGCTGATAATACTCGTTGTATAGCAGCTGCGGATGGTGGATGGTGGCTACTTGCTGATCGTGAAGGACTGATGTCTTGACTATTCGTCCTTGATCTCGAAGGGGTACCTGAGCGGGCGGCAGATGTGTTTCTAAGTTGAGGTCGGACTGGTGAAGATTCTCGTGATCCTATTGGACTATTTGTTGCAGAAGATGCTCGATTTGTTTGTAATCTTTTGACGGTAGGTTTAATGGATGTATCGTAACTTCGTCTAGATGCTGTTGATGGTTTTGAATCTGAGGTTGGAGAGGGAATGTTTGAATCTAATGGTGATGGTGAAGGTGTCTCTCGCATTTCTGCTGATTTCTGAGTGTATGATTTATGGTCCATTGTAACTTACTTCTTGGTCTTGGAACCAGTACGAGTACAACGTAACGAAAAGCTAATAAAGTGGTAGCTTTGGGTAGGTACGACGAGTGAGAACTGAGAACTGAGAAGGGTAGTGCGTAGTGTAATGTGCGTAAGTGCGTAGTGCGTTATTATTGAAGGGATACTAGTAGCGAATGGGGGATGTACCCGAACCAAACAAACCCTTTGCCAGCAAAACTTTTGTATTTGAAAAATTTATTTAAAAAGGATCATGTCATTGTCATCCATCGAATAGATATTTTCTAAGAGTGGAAAGTAATAAGAAAGCTCTCAATCAATTCCTTTCCATTTTCCCCTTTTCCCTTACTTGGCTGGTCTTTGGTGATAAAGAGGGGTTGTGGAGGGTGGTGTGTGTGTATGTATATGGGTGTGTGTGTTTGTTGTATTGTTGTGTTGTTGTGTTGTCGCAATGTTCAATGTAGCATCTAGGAGCGAATGAAGGGATGCAATTGCAGATGGGTAATGTGATATTGGGATATTATTAAATATAAAAGAAAAAAGTGTTGTCTAATTAGGATAAGATCCAATTATAATGTTTTATTTCTATTAAAGAGGAAAATAAGAAGGGTCTGACTGATATATCATAAAGTAGATGTGAATATACTCAAGTATATTTATTCAAGGTTATTATTCTTTCCGCCTTTTTCTCCTCTCCTCTCCTCCCCTCCCCTCTTCTTTCCTCCTCTTCTTACTATTCTCTTTCTTTTATACAGTACCTACTCCGCTGCCTCCCAAGCACTTAATGTCTGACTGATCATTTCAATAGTTCCGTTTGATACAAAGAGACAAAGAGACAAGTTACAAAAGTGGATTCAATTGAGCCATCCATGGTTCAACCGTTCAAACTTGAGCGAACGGCACACCAGGGGAAAAGAGGTTTGGTTTAACAAGTTGTTCATTCAGTGCTAGCCTTATGAAGAATAACCCAAGGAGAAAACCCATTAAATTCCGGGATTCTAGATGTTGGTCTAATAAACTTCCGAAGGGAATGTTGATATCCAATCATCTCCCTTATATTAACTCTCTCACACACACTCTCTCCATCCCTTATCCCTTTAATTTGACATTATTGTATATCAATTAAAATCCTATGAATCGACCCATCTTCAACTCTCATTCATCCTATATCTATCAACATCCAATCCACCTAATCGCGATTGCGGATGGTTCGGATGTTGATCACTAACAACTTTTCCCCTGTTTATTTATCACATACCGCAAGAAGATGTGGGTTCAGAGATGTTCTAGAATGAACTTTCGTTCCTTCACCGGTTAGGACCCCTACATCTTGTGAGCAACAACAACGGAAGCAACCGACAAAACCATTTATCCCACCTTTTTTAATCGAGTACAAGTGTACACACCTACGAGGCAATTAATTCTTCATACAGTACTCGAATAAAACATATTCTATTCCAATTATACCTGATCTGACCAATATCAATCAATCAATCAACCAATGAATCACCTCAGCATCCTCTCATCAGCATCGATTTTTATTAGTAGTAAATGTGACGAAAGAAATCGCCATAACATTACAGTACAGTATTAGATTCCAGTAATACCGGTCGGTACAATATATCTAACGAAAAGGCTGCATAAAAGGACAGCCAAGAAGCACCGGACTTACCTATTTCGATACCCCAATCCTTGTGCTTCCATATTGTTGGTGTTGGTGACGAAATCATGATGATGAAGGCGGCTTCATATCTCACATCCCATTCCCCTGAAAGAGGAGAATCTCCTGAGGGCTGAGACAATTACACAACTACTCGAGTATATAATCATACAAGTACTTGAGTAGTATATTTAATAAGTCAATTGAGAAATGGGCTTGAAACTTCATGTACCCCTCGAATTCAATCCAATAGGATAGATTTATCGATTATTTGTACTCAAGTAATACAATTCTAGATCAAGATTTGCTTATTGTAGTGTTGATACCTATTCATTCAATAAAAGGTCTAGAAGTCAAAGATTGAACAGAGCAGAAAACAGGTTTGAGTACCGAGAGAGATAAGACATCTTGTACTCTTATTACTAACTTAGTTAGAAACAGTATCTAAATACTAAAATATTACATTATTTTCTTATAATAAAAGCTATATGCCGGTATTGGAATAGCTGTACTCGAGTATAGTGCAGAGTATTATAATACTCAGATTCTATTAGGATTTAAATCCTTTTATTGAGTTATACTCGACGTATCTATCTATATTATCTACTCTACTACTCGAGGATAAGATTTTGACCTAGGATTAATGAAATGACTTATAGTAAATAAATCTCTTGTTTAAAATCTAGAAGTCTAGTTATTAAGAAGATATAGATACTACGAGTAGATTAATATTATAAGAATCAAATAATAAAGATTAAAAATCAAAAGTTTTCAAAAGATTTATATTTCAAATAATATTGAAACTAGAAACTAATCTAATCCCCGACGACCTCACCTCAGCCCGCGGACTCGGACAGAGATATGAATAGGTAGTGAGATAGTGAGGTGGTGAGATGAGAATAGGAAGGCTTAATAAGATACCCTGTACCTGTACCTGTGGAAACTCCATGATTAGTGAATAGATGAATGGATGGAACTATTAAGAGTCAAGCTAGAAATAATAGATGAGATGAAATACATGAGTTAGACTGTTTATTATCTTTTACCTTTATACTCATAGACCCTTATGAATATCTAGCACTAGTCGGTATTCACACTTATATCAAAATAAACCACATCCCCCTTTTTTTTTGATAAACAAAAATGGTAATCTTACAAGAATGATATCATCGGTAATACCACCCTCCCCCTCATTTATTCAACCATTCATTCATCCATCCATCCTAGATATTGTACAGTACGCTACCCCCACGGCGCCTACTAACCCTTACGCACACACACGCACATACGCACGTGGCTTAGATGAATACCACATTGATTTGGATGAAGGGGTAAAGAAAGAGCATATTGAACAGCGCATCGAGCATTGAACAGCGATTGCTTACAGTTAGTATATCAGCTGTTCTACATCTCACTTGATTTATGAGTAAGGTAAGGATTTAAATGTCGATTGTAGTAGGTATACGTCCAGGATCTACTCGAGTACCGGTGTATGATACCAATGGGAAGATTCCTTTTCAGGATATCATTGATTAGGTTCGGACTCGGATTCGGATTCGTTGGTAGAAAGGCGGGGTGAAGAAGAGGTTTTGGGTTGGATTTGTTTGGGGAAGCTTTAGGAATCAGGAGAATGTTTGTGTAGATCTAGTGATTATTGTGCGAGGTCCGAAGTATATGAGGTGGTTTTGGGAAAGTTTCCAAGGTATAATGAGGCTGGGCGGAGTGATTGAGACTCGATTTGCGAATTTGAGGAAGTTCGAAGTATGGAGGATAACCTTACTGTATCTGGTGTGTTCTGGTATCTTCCATTTACCGACGGACCAAATATGTCGTCGATCTGAAGAACAACCATATACAAAACCAACCAATCACTTCCACAAGCGTGGCCTCTCATTTACAATAGATTGATGTAGCTTACACATCTGAATATACACTTTATGCTTCTTTTCAATTATCCTGTTACAGTATCACCACCAACTTCCAGTCTGACATCCGCGTTGAGATATTACTCCGTTGAGATATATAGTTATTAAATGGGGCTCTTAGTTGCAATGGAGATGGAGAGAAATGCTTGACTCATATTATTGGATAGTACCGACTGCCAAGCTCCCTCCGCATCTTATATCCATTTTGCCGATAGGTGGTGCAGGTACTTCTACATCTTGAGATTTGAACATCGCTTTGGATTGTCGGCCGATAGGGTATATCGCACGGTGATTGAGTTGGAATGGTATTCCTTTGCATGTGCAAATATATCATATATCCCACTATTAACTTTGCATTCGAAGTCGCTGCAAGTTAAAACCTCAATGCAAGCCATCTTCAATGATGTTTTCATTCATTGCACTCCTCTTGAGTGTACACATCTGAGAACGGTGAAACGGTATTCCTACAGTCTTAAGTATGGCACCAGTTCTCCTCGGGTCTTCAGTTTGGCTCTTATTTCTTGCTAGCTGCAGACTCGTAGCTTCTTCGTCATATCCTCGGAATCAATCAGCGTTTGCTAAGAGTTATGACTATATCATTGTTGGCGGTGGAACAAGCGGTCTAGTTGTCGCAAATAGATTGTCAGAAGACCCTACAAGTAAGTGATTGACATTCGGATACATAGACTCTAGCTCACGATACTAATTTGTGGACAGAGACGATTCTTGTAATTGAGCATGGTCTTATAGATAATAGCTCTCTCACATTAGTCCCAAGGCTTGGACTAGAATATTTTCCCAACAATGTGAAGAATTGGGACTACACCTCTGCACCTGTCGAGACTCTCCTAAATGCTACCTTTGGCGTCTATATCGCCGACGTGGTGGGAGGCAGCTCTCTACACAATGGCATGTTTGCCGATCGGGGATCAAAAGCAGACTACGACTCTTGGGGAGCTTTCGTAGACGACGATACGTGGAGTTGGGATGGTCTTTATCCTTATTTCGTCAAGAGCACTACTTTTACCCCGCCATCCGATGAGCTTGTAAGAAAGTTCGATATTAGGAACGACGCTTCTGCGTATGGTGATGGACCAATACAGATCAGCTATCCGTCAGTAATTTTTCCAGACTATAAAAATCAGATTCTTGCGGCAAATGCTTATGGTATCGAAACTCCCGATGGACCAGAGTCAGGTGACGCGATCGGTTTTTGCTGGGTGCCTCAAACACTCGATCCTGCAACAGGATTTCGTTCCCATTCTCGGATTTCTTATTATGACCCGGTGGCTAGTAGACCTAATCTACAGCTAGTTACCGGTCACCTAGTTGAAAAGATCATCTTCAGTCACGACCTAACCGCTACTGGTGTTCAAGTCACATCTTTACAAAACAACAAGACAAGTATAGTATCTGCATCTAAAGAGGTGATCCTAGCAGCTGGTGCAATAAATACCCCAAAATTACTACAACTCAGTGGAATTGGCCCCAAGAAAGTGCTCAAAGCTGCGGGTGTAAAAGTTAAGCTGGATAAACCGGCAGTTGGGGCAAATTTTCAAGACCATCCGGTTACATATCTAAGCTGGAACCTCACTAATTTGGCATTCCCAAACGATGGCACTATTTCGACAAATGCATCATATAACGCTAGTGCGTGGCAGGAATATGTGACGAATCATACGGTTAGTTGAACCCGACATTCTTAGCTTACTGCCATTAACTCAATATGAATACTGAATACACGCTTTCTATAGGGTCCTTACACTCAGGCAACGTCCCCCGATGCCGCATTTCTCCCACTCTCTCAATTTTCGTCGAAAAGCCAAGAGCTAATCGATCAACTGCAATCTCAAAACGCATCTGACTATCTCCCATCCATATACAAAAATAAAGCGCTTCTCAAGGGCTACTTAGCTCAGCGCGAGATAATTCTTGACCACTTTGCCAGAACTGATGCTGCCGCGATAGAAATCCCTATTGGTGCTACGGGACCTGGTGCGTACTTCACATGATCTCTATCGAGATACAAAACTCTACTGAATGTATTGGCTAACAAACATCTTTCTCTCCAGGAGCATGTGCAGTAGAAAAGCCACTATCCCGCGGCACCATAACGCTCGACCCCTCCAACCCCCACGGCCAACCCATCATAACCTACAACACGCTCTCCAACCCCCTCGACGGTATTCTCCTCTCAGAATGCATCCGCTACGTCCGAAACTACTATGCCTCTCCCCTCCTCACCTACTATCACCCCATCGAACTTTTCCCGGGCCCATCCGCGCAGTCCGATGATGAGATACTCGCGGCTCTCATCAAAGCCGGGGCTATCGCGCCCAGTTTTGCGCATCCGTCTGGAACCTGTGCTTTGGGTACCGAGGAACGTGGTGCGTGTGTTGGGGCCGATTTGAGAGTTTATGGGACGAAGGGGTTGAGTGTTGTGGATGCGAGTGTGATGCCGTTGATTCCGGCTACGCATTTGCAGTTGACGGTTTATGCGGTGGCGGAGAAGGCCAGTGATATTATTAAAGGGAGGGCTTAATTTTGTATCTCGTGCATGTCGATTTTGAGTATATATGAGATGATGGTACCTTGAATTTTTAAATAGAAGCTTAAAAGGGTCCAGAGCTCTCAAATTGGAATCTTTATATATGTGATTGTGGGCTGTCAGTATCACCGGAATACTTATCTTGTTCAACTAGAAAGTCATGTAATTTCAAGACGGTAAAGTACCAAATAAGCTGCAAGGTTACGAATCTGTATAACCAATAATAAATCAAATTGGGAAAAGAGTTCCTATCTAAATCTTATACAAGATATAAGAAGTATACACTATAGTAGATCAATTGATCTGTAAGTTCTACTCCAATTTTACATTTCAGACATCATAATTAACTTACGAAGCATCTAGAGGAATAAAGACTACTAGTTCCTATTAAACGATGACTAAATCTGATTAAACGTCCTCAGCCCCATATTTAAGTTCTTTAATACATCTCATCTTTTCCGCTGCCTCTTTTGCTGCGTTCCTAGTCTCCTCCGTCAACGCCTCACAACTAGCAAAAAGTTCAAATCTTGACGTCCAAAATTGCCACCGCTTTAAACACAGCGTAGGCTCGCCCTTCCACAACTGTCCTCTTTTCCTAGCATACCCTCCCACGGTTCCTCCATTCAATGATATCAATTCACCAGCCTTAATGATCCATTCTGCTGCTATTGGTACCAGATATTCGCTTTCAACCACATGGAATACATTAGAAGCTTCAAATTCAAACTCCATTGCTTCGTGCAAGGCAATGAATGCATATAGCATGTTGCTGTCCTCAAACCCAGCTTTCGCTAATCGTGCGAGAAAACTCGATAGATTTCGATATTTGACGCAATCTTGGGGTTGATCATTTTGGGCTATCATAGCCCGTGCATTGTATTCTACAACACCTCCTGTCAGTTTTGTACTAGCAGTGATCGTGATCTCAGTAATAGAAAAAAGAATCTACTCACGAGACCAATTCTCAATCGTAGCCGGACCCAATCCGCTCCCTTTGAACAAAGGCAGCTTTCGAGTCAAAAAATAGATCAACCAATTTATCCATCTCGGGTCTTTGATAGAGGATCTGCGATGCAAGCTTGACATGCATATCGTCCATCTCCAGAGTGAACGATATTGCAGCTTCGCGATACAAACCGTCCTCTTGTTCGTTGTCTGGGTGAAGCATGTTGATTTTCTCAGCAGCTTCGTGAACAGAGAGTTGCGAGGCTGAGGGTTGAATAAGGTCGTTGAAGACATTGAAGAGATCAACGCCAATATCCCAGGGATTTTCGTCGTCAAGATCATCAAGATGTAGCGGAATCGAAGTCATTACACGAAGAAAACGAGTGAGAGAATAGGAATAGAAGTAATTTGAATGCCCTTAAAGCTTATTTGTATAGATAAGGTGCTGTGTCGTTAAGTGATGCCGTACTTTAGGATGGAAACCCCCATAATGCCATTTGCTAAAATACCCCGCCGCGGCCCTCAAGGGCCACTACCTGACTATAACTACAACGGTAAACCGAGAGAGACTCCAGGAGGTCTCTGAAGTAGCTATTACGATCGCGTCATCGAGAGCGTTGGGCTGAAAACAACGGTGCGCGTTGTGGGAAGGCCTATGTATTTATATGGATATGAATGCTAATATATCCGAGTTCATAATATCTATCCAAAAAAGAATTTATAGTTTTTGATCTCATTTCATTTATTTATATAAAAGATTTATGTTTCTTCAAGTATAAAATCAGGTGTAATGGAAAGCATGCTGGTCCTTTTGCGAGCGCGCATCGTTACACTAGTAACAGCCCTGATTATACAAGAGATGGGAATAATAAGTGAAGTGATCATGCTCAGAATTACTAGATGGGGATATCGGAGCGGGTTCAAGGATTGGGAGGTTATTTCTTGGTCTATCCTTGGAGTCGATGATGATACTCCATCTCCCCATGAGAAAGACAATTCTTATACACGCAAAGTAAACCTCTTCTGGCAAGAATGTCTCGAGCACGCTAACATTGATGCTCTCCATGAATCATCTGAGACTGCATTGACGCTTTTCGATTATATAGACCGAATTTATCATCTAAGTCAGCCCAAATTTCAAGTCCAGGGTGTTAGTGGAGCTCATCAGCCTAACAGCTTACGACATGTTAGTAGGACCACCCTCAGATGTGCGATGCTCTTCGTGTCAATGAAACTGGTGGAAGATCCGACTTACTTTTATGATGAGAAGTTCTCAATGCGACTAACCCTTGACCAATCTCCATGGACAGATTGCCATCTCAATATAGTCACAGAATTCTTAGAAATGAGAGCAAGTCTTCATGACAAGGAATTTGTGGCAGTTGCATGGCAGCGATTACTGAAGAGGATGTCAACCGTCTTCTTCGACGAAAATAATGATGACTTCATGAAAGCAATTGAATACTCACTATTCCCCCGATTCCTTAAATATGGAGCATCTAAGACAATGCACATGGAATATACGCCAGTAGAACCTGACGTTCATGCTTACATTCAAAGAGAGGAGTGCAACATATATCTATACCCTTGTACAATCTTTTTACTGGCCCTGTTCTACAACTACAATACACTCAACCAGACATCGCTTAAAATGTTTGTCAACGTAGTCGAGTTCCTCTGCACAAGTTCAGAAGAAATTAGATTGCAACTTGAGAATTTGTATCGCCCTGTTTTATTATACCACCAGCTTCGTCATTATTATCGTCGACAGGCGGAAAGTAGCGACACGACAATAGGTTCAGTGCGGGTTAGGTTCCTTGCTCGTATTGCGCAAATATTAATAACGAAAGCAATTGAGATCAAACTGGAAATGGTAGAATTGGAAAAGCTAGTCCCTGCCATTTTAGCTTTCTTTCCAAGTGCTGTTGGAGAGAATTTGGCAAATCAAATTCGGACTATGAATAAGGACGGCGAATTATCAACTTCCCCTGATCAGCGAGACGGGAGAGTGGAAGTGTGCCATTGCAAAAGGATAAAGAGGGATGAGTTGATGGATGAAGAAACTTGACAATCATTTTGTAAAGAGCTTGGGATACTTTAAGTATAACACTTATAACTTATCTCTAGGAATTGCATGATACTTTTTGTATAGATGAGTACTTGCTCTAATATACTTCTTCACTAACACCATATCATAGCAGATAAATAATTTGGCATTCAGAACTATACATCCTTTCGATTTCCATTCTCCCAACCCTTGAACCCGGTGAGTGATTCTTTAGATAAAACTCATGCGATCATTCAAGATGGTATGGATGCGCCTCCAAAAACTCCTCTAGAGTAGACAATCTACCACGGACATTCTTCGGAGCCCAGGCAATCGCCTCCTGAATTCCCTGGCCCCAGTATCCATATTCCTCAACGAAACTGAAGTACTCGGAAAAAAGGACATCAAACCCAACCGGTAAGGTCTTCTTGAATTCCTCGAGACTGATCTGGTTATAGACTATAGTCTTTCCACTGGATTTAGATAGTGCTGCGACTATCTCTTCCACAGTATACAGCTTCACTGCGGCACAGAATACCTTCCCTTCGTACTTATCCGGTTGGGTAAGAATAGCTCCAACGAACTTTCCGGTGTCCCCCACAGCATCGATTAAAGGAAATTGCGCTTTCGAGGTAGTATGACGGGACATAACCCAAGTACCATCAAGAGCCGGTCGCGGAGCTAAGAAAGATTGGGCGTGGAAATTTTCCATGAATGATCCGAGCGAGACGAAAGCACTTTTGATCGGAAGCCGTCGAATGTACTGCTCTATTTTCGCCTTCGCATCAAATGCACTGCCTTTGGTATATTTGCCGCCAGAAATGCCGGATATGGATGGTAGAGTACTGAAGATGATGTACTGGACGCCTACCTCGACGGCAACATCGGCAATGGTCTTGCCATTGATATATTCGACCTCCACGGCATTGGAACCAAAGTCGGGTGCCGTCATGGCGAAAACAGTGTGTACGTTGGTTAAAGCTGTTTTGAGAGAGGCTCGATCAGTTGCATCGCCTTGAACGACTTCGACTTTCTCTTTCAATTTTCTGGCTGCGTCCGAATTGACATCACGGGTGATGGCTCGGATCTTATATGTCTTGGAAAGTTCAGGGTCATTCAGCACATTTTTTACAACCGAACCTCCCTGTTGGCCAGTAGCGCCAAAGATGGCGAGAATCTTAGACATGTTGTATGAAGTAGATTTTTCCTGAGTAACAAGTTTCGAGGTCTTGGTTTTGCAGAATTCGTGCTGTTTGATGATAGCTCAATAAAGTAGACATATTGCATTGTCTTATGCATATCTGAGCATGTAGTTCAGACGTAATCCTTTCACCCCTTGACTTGTGATGCAGTGTTCGATTTCTTAAACCGGCATAGCGTGGGGTTATTCGCATGTTCGCTTTCGATTGTGATTGGCTGTTTGAGGCTTCTCGTGTATTTAGCGCTTACTTATTGAAGAGTGGATCGACCAGCTCTTACTACACTTACCAATCTCAAGCAAATTCACCGACAACAGCTTCAAGATATCGGAAGTTCGCATCTTCGCTTTCTCGTCATTGAGATAGTTGACAAATTAGGAAAAGAGATCAGATCTTCAATGGAACCTGTCAATACTTCCATCCAACGACGGAGACCTCTGCTTACGAAATCTCGCTCGGGGTGCCGAGATTGTAGACTTCGCAAAGTAAAGGTATCATGATACACCATGTGAAACCCACGATCTTTACTAAAAATTTGCTCTAGTGCGATGAGATCAAACCTGTCTGTTCTAATTGTCGCCGACGATATGTCAGCATTCAACGGTGTGATTGGAGCACGAGTTCACAAAGACCAGAGGAATTAGCGGTGCAGCGCCTTTCCACATCCATTAGAAATGCACCTATACATAGCCTTGAAGTGTATCCAAATACACTAGCAGACACAAGCCAATGGCGGACCATAGAACTACGTCTGATGTACCATTATAGTACCGTGGTCAGTCACGCCATGCCCGACTGCCAGAGTGCACCAGCACTAGCGTGGCAAAAAACCATACCACAATTATCCTTTGATTCCGAAGTAGTTCTCAACCCAATGCTAGCGCTCTCCGCGCTTCATCTGCACACTCACTCACCCGCCGACTTTTCCATGACCGTCGCTTTACGACGCTATCTCGATCGAACGCTCGTGAATCATCGTCGAGCTTTGTCAAAAGGCGAGGGCCTTTCAGAACAGCTTTGGCTTTCGGCTATTCTACTTTGTCATGTTTATTGGCTGCTTTCGCGTCAGTCGCAGCCTTATGAGGCGTATGAGCTGCCCTTTCAGGCGTTCAAAATGTTGGAAGGTATCAATGTAATTTTTGCGCAGAAGGAGAAATTTCTTGGCCGATTGGGCTACAATTCGTTCAAGTACGAATCTTTGCCCCAAGTAGTCTCGGAGGACAAGTTATCCATATCCTCACGAGTGCAGTTGCAGAGTATAGAGGAAGATATCACGCACTTAATGGATTCTTTTGACGTCGCTACAAAAGCAGAAGATGTTCAGAATATCTACATCGAAGCCAGAGATTCAGTGCTCTATCATTATCGAGCATTTTACTCTGGTATTAGCGCAAAGATTCTTCGGCGCCTCATTACGGTTATGCCTGTTAGATGTCAATTGGGATATCGTTCTTTGCTTGAGAGTCATGATCCACTTGCGATGGCACTGTTGGCGAGAGTACTGGTTTTGTTGAGAGGACTAGGTTATGCTTGGTGGATTAATGGGGGAGGGGAATATGAAGTTGTGGAGAGAGATGTGAGAGGTATTCGTGAATTGATACCTGCGAATCTTCACTGGACGATGGATTGGCCATGTAGGGTTTTAGATGGGGAGCTTATTCTGAATAGAGATTGTTAGAGGGACGGTAATGGTAGCTGGAAGAGTCTAGTTCGATGCTCCAGCGCCAAAAGCTAAGCTGGATGGATCCATAGACGAAGATGTGGAAGAAGAGACGGAGTGGGAAATGGGTGAAGAAACAAACGAATTGACATCAAAACTTCTATACGATTACCCTAAGGTGTTGTTTCTGATCCAAATCCAACCCCAATACCTCCAAATTCCAGATTATATGCCATGACTGAGTTTCTACAGATCCATAAATGACTATCTTCTTGCCAACTAGGAAATTTGTCTCGACCAGCTCGAAAACTGATTAGATGGACGAATATTTATGCATTTTTTTGTCTTTTGCCTTGTGAAAACAACGATAAAATTGCTCAGGATAAGACTCGAAGTCAAAGGCTCTGAATACCGTGACAAAAGTTTTCTCAGAAGATAGGGAGGCATTGATCACCAGCACTAAAGCGCGGACTATGCCGGGGTGAATATGGGTCCTGGAATGCGAGAATCACTTTGATCTTCGGTAATGGTCACGATCTATGATTATGATGGACTTTCGTTGGTGAAAGTGGCTGTATCTTAGATGTGGTTTGTGTTGTGAGGAGTTGAATTACTTTCACAAGAATCACTTGCCTGGGGCGAATATTGTTTTTTATATTAGATCATGGGAATATGAGAGGAGTCCAAATATCTCTCGCCAATCTTCTGAGAGATCAAAAATCCATGATACTGTCGAATACTCCTTACTCTGTATATATATGAAATGGCGTTTTATTAGCATACTGTTTCCTTCATTGTACGTCTGTTAGGTTTCATACAAGCTTTTTCTTCCGCCGCCGCCTCGGCATAATCAAATAGTTGAAAATGACTGTTAGAATTGGATAATGTGTTATTTTTACCCAGCAGAGCAGATCGTATACAATCTTATCTCCGCACATCAGCATTCGCATAAGAGCATCATACTTTGCGTCAACATACAAGAGATTACTAATTAATGTCTCTTCTATATGCATGTACCTGGAACTGTGCCCCATGATTCGTTGATAATACTGCGGAGGCTAGAGAGACAGCTGAGGAACTCGACTACATTTCTGATTTTCTAGATCCTTTCGCTGCTACACTGTACATGTAAAGGCGGTTCTGAAATTAGATAGAAATTGCGTCAGGTTGAGGGTATTCCAGAAGTGATAAACAAGGAAGGGGGTGGAGGTTAATAGGAAGGATTGGCGGAAATATGGGGATGGAGTGGTGGGAAAACTATCTTTGGTTCATCTCAGTAGTGATTTATCTTCTGCGAAGATAGATACACGTGTGTGAAGGCGGTATTTATTAATGTCTTTAGTTATGCTAATATAAAATATCTATTATAAAGTTTGGATCTCCTCAAAATTAAACGAACGGGGAAAGGGGAAAAAAGGCATAAAGGGGAGAGGGGAAAGAAGATATGGAAAAATACTAACCAGTGATAAATCTATTCCTTTGAGTATCATATTTGACACTTGTTTCAATGGATTTGAAGAAATATTTTATGTCGGCCGATGCTTGATATCGACATTACAGTAGACGCGCACTTGGTAGGTCATCATACTGCTTTCAGATTGTGGGGAGAGGCGAGGGGGGAGCGAATTTTCCTTCGATCATTTGTTAGTGCATTTAAGAATATGGAGAAGAAATGGAGCGAATATGGAAAGAGAATTTAAGGGGGAGTAAAAGGGAAAAATTATTGGAATACTTTGTTCTTGTTACGATATTCAAATTTCACAGCGGTAGTTGCTCCATATTCATAAAAAATGGCATCGGACCTAATGTTCAGAGTTCCATGCCAATTCTCCAATGTTCTCTTCAATTAGATATTTGCAATCCAGTCTGTTTGATCTATTTGATAGCTATGATAAATTCAAGTAACATGACAAGAAGAGTGGAAAGGCATACTCACAACTCTCAGTCTCCTCGATTGCAGATCTATTTTGAAGCCTTGTAAATACGAGTCTTTTATAGATCTTGATAAAATGATACTACTCGTGCTCTACTCCAACATGATGCAATATACGGTAGACTTTAATTAAAATATCTATGAGTTCGGGCAAATCAATGAGTTTGTGTAATCTTATGAGTTACAAAACCTTGTCAGTAGTCCAATATCGAGATTTCGCTACTAGGAGAGTAACAGCATTCGAATCATATTGAATAGTTTCGGTTACGACATCGGAACTCTCATTGAAAAAGATAATCAGACTATTTTATCCATTTCACGCAAGATAACTAGCTTTTCTTTTACAAACTTCCTCGTAGGTATATATATTGGCCTTCTTTATAGATATCTCACACTGCTACTAGTATGACAAATTCACTGAACCATTTACTCGAGGTTTTCGAGCAGTTCTTTGATTTTAACTATGTAAGTCTTACAGTGTTATGTTTATCACTTGTCTTTTTCCAACTTGAGGAAATACCAAATCATAATTGACAAGACTCACTTGCTTATACATTATAACTAATACCACAGGTGACAATACTCCAGAAGGATATAGCGATTACGTCGTTCTTCATCCTATCAACAGTATGATAACTTCCAGCCCCACGGAATCAACAATACAATCGAGTACAATTTCTGTTGAACAGTATATTCCCCTGTCTTTCCACACATCCCCCCGCTTTGTGCCACTAAACATCCTTTCCCCAGCCGAAATTTCACATCAACGGCAACGGTAGCAGGAATAACGAGATCTCCGCTTTCGATATAAACAAAATCACCATTCCATCCAGCTCCACCTGCAATATCTCATCCTGTGGTCAGTCACGCCTCCGCTTATTATCATATAGAACGAAAGATTCTAATGAGCTCTACGCTAGAGATACTCGAGATTTGCAAATTATGTTAGAATGACCCGTAGAGGGGCAATAATGATCTCCAGATCCAGATTCAGTATTGTAGAATTGGGCATGTATATATATCAGCAGTGGGGAATTGAAAATTTGGATTAAAAATCGGGGAGTCTGGGACAGTGGATGTGGATGGATATATTGACTGGTGGGAAGGAATGAATCGGTTGGACTACGAATAAAGGGATGTCACTTTGATAGATATCCATCTAGTGAGATGCAGAGGATATGTGATTTTGCGCTATAGAAGTCGAGAGTTTTTTTCCTGTAGACGGGGGAGGGGGGGGGGGACTTGCTAATATACAGTAACACTATTATAAAATGTCTCAATAGAAGTCTTATACTGGGTTTGATTAATCATTTCACTGATTATTATAGATCGTAAATGGTCTTCCAATAGTCTCTCAAGACTATCTCATTGAATATAAAATAACTAGACAATTACAATTACAATATCAAAAATATATTATATCAGTTCTACAATTTCCTAAATTCAGGAAAAATGTATATAGTACCCGTGAACTTTGCAAATTCAGACCTTCAGATCTATTTTATAGCAATTGTGGCCTTTGCCTTTTAATGAACTGCTCTGGTGCGAAGTTCCATTGATACTATATCTGTATCTCGGGTCGATTTTCTACAAAAGTCTATGTATATATATATTCGAAGAAACTCTGTTCAACTTTCTCAGTAATATCGTTCCCATTGTCATTATTAAAAAACTATGCTGGCAGCTTTTATTAATTCTTTGCTGTTATTATCATTGCTATCGTTTTATTATCTATATCTAATTTACTCTTTTCAACTCCTATATCACTCTTTCTGAAGGCATGTATGGTTTACACTCGCGGGTTCTATATTTGATATCAAATTATTATACAGACTGGCTACTTATACATCTTATTATCAAACATATCTTTATCTTTATCTTGAGCTGACAAGTATGTATTGTCAAATTCTACGAGTAAACCCGAGTTCTACTCAAGTATATTAGCACACCTTCATCCTTCCTTTGTTCTACCTTCTACCCCTCTGATATAAACTATTTTCATAACTTTTAGAATATAAGAACGATTCACAACTCGAGCTAGGTTACTGAGAACATACATTCTGTTGGTACTCAACTTCTGAGATTATAATTATGAATATATTCTCAGTATCTCTATGGATATATATACTCACGGTGGCAGTGCTAGTCTGCCTCCACGGCAGTGGCTCCCGGAGGGCCAGCGGAGCGTCATTTTGATTGATTGGTTGATTGATTTTTATTACTATGACGGGGGCAAGTACTCAAATCCTTTGCTTCTAGCCTTGCTGATATGACTGCTATGGTAACACAAGAGCATTATAAGAGAATATCTATATAAATATCTAGCCTCTCCCCAATCTCACGTATATTATAATACGACTCGCCTAAACTATACATTCTATCTGTACCCCCACTTATTTGCGATGGATATCGATAAAGTTGTAACTATTATTACGAGTACTGAGTATATAAATCGCTACTCTTTCCACTCTCGAGATGTAATTTTATCAAATGAGATTTTCTCCTATTGCAGCTTTAGAACTGAGGCTTTCTGAGATGACTATATAGAGATTTCGAACCGTTTATTGTTTTGGTAATTATACTTTATGATTGAGAAAGTTTTAGTATTAGTAGACTTATGATCATCGATATTTATCTTTCACTCTCAGATTTTACTATACAGTTTACTCTTAGAGAATGATTATTGATATTATAGATATATATATTATTAATAACATAGCTCTTTATTCTCAATACTACTCAGTAGAGCTTGATCTAAGCAGACGTAGAACCTACTATTATACTTGTAGAATATTTTCTTTTAATATTAAGTCAACTACTCTACTTTCGGGCCACTCTTTCATACCAAAAAAATAGTG